CCGCCATCTTGGCTCCGCCCTCGGGTTTTGTTTATTTTTAAGGGAATTAATACACTTAGCCTTTTTATAAAAGTATGCTTTGAGGAAAGCAGAAAATAAATATTTAATATCTATTCACTAACCCAACCAAAGAAATAAAATGTTCATGCTACCTCCAAAGTTAGAGATAACTGGCAAATCTTAATTATGCCACAAAGTCTAGGGAGTTACATAAAGAATAAAGGCATTTGGGGATTTCTCAAGTTCCAGATGACCAACCCAAAAATGTACATCATCAGCTAAATAATAATAAATGAGATACACACTTATGTTTTTATATACTAGGTACTATAAATATTTTACATATATAGCATCATAGTATCACACATTCTCTGCATTAATAAATGAACTCTATTCAGTATGGTTTCAGGCAAATTATTGTAACATATATCTGAGTTCTCAGACTTGGCAACTGCTGAAAACAGAGTTTTCAGGACTACATTAGATGTTAATGGTAGGTTAAGATAGAGGCCAACTTTAAAGTGCATATTTGAAGATAAATCCAGAAGAAGCCTCAGCCTCTGCAATATCATCATAGGTGAACAGTTTTATAAGTTCATAAACATTAAATTAATATGGAACAATCTAAAAAGAACTATTTAAGAGGCATCCAGTCTCTTATAGGCTTCTTCAATAAAAGTTAACATGTTCTTCATTGGGGATGAATTACGTAGAATATCCAAGTCCTTCAGAAGAGCATCTTGGTTTGGAATTAGCGTCAAAATTTCTTTCTGTGGATATGATAGGATAACTAGTTAAAACAAAATATTTTTGAGATATAACAGATATATGACATTATATTAGCTTCAGGTGTACAACATAATGACTTGATATTTATATTTATCATGAAATACATTATGGTATATGCATACAATGGAATGTTATTTAGTCATTGATAAGAAAGAGACAGATCTACATGAACTGACAAAGAAAGATGTTTAAGTTATATTGTCAAATGAGAAAATAACTTTGCCTAACAGTTTATATCCTGGACTCTATTTGTTAAAAAAAAAAAAAAAAGGAACGGGATATAATGCTTTTATATATGCAATTCATAATGGGTGGTACAGTCAATATGGTAAATTAGCACCTACCTGAAGTGTGGGTGCTTTGAGACTCTTCTGAGAAAGTTCTGGAAGAGAGAGCACCCCACTCCCATCTACCGGAACCATCTAAAGTAGAAAAAGAAAGCTACAGATTATTTCAAAGGGCAACTTCACTTGATTACACTCCAAAGTTGTTTTGGTAGAATGAAATTATTAAAAATTGTATCTGGACTCTAGCATACATTGTTAAACAATTACCTGTTTTACCTTCTCCTCCTCCTCTTCTACTTCACTTGTTAGAATTTGAATTTTGTTCTTTAAGCTCTGTATATTCATAGTCACTGACTCTACGGTTTCTACTACTTTATCTATTTCTTCCTGAATCAGAAAGAGAAAGTTAGTATTTTAAATATATTATTAAATGAAACCTAAGAGATATTAATATACATAAACATATTTTTAAAAACACCTCATATATTGAAACACTTCTAGAAGAAGTGGTAAATTTCCATTTTTCTTTAAAAAATCAGACTTCTTAGGAATTTACCAATAATGCATTATAAAAAAACTAAATTTCCCTGGAACAAGGAGATATATGCATGTATAAGACTGTTTCCTCAAAAACTTACCAAATATGCTAGTTTCAGAGTGTGAATCTAGCAAAGCCCAAGGACTGATGGCTTAAAAATCTTCTGTGTAGGACTACTCATTTTTACTACCATCACACAACCCTGGCAATCACTAGATTTTTTTATTGTCTCCAGTTTTGCCTTTCCTAGAATGTCATATAGTTGTAATCATAAAGTATGTAGTCTTTTCAGATTGATTTCTTTCACTTAATATGCATTTAAGGTTTCCCCATCTTTTCAGAGCTTGGTAGCTCATTTCTTTTTAGTGCCAAATAATATTCCATTGTCTAGATGTGCCCTAGTTTGTTTATCCATTCCCCTACTGAAGGATATCTTGTTTTATTCCCAAGTTTTGGCAGTTATGAATTAGGCTGCTACAAATATCTGTGTGCAGTATTCTTTGGGTAAATTCTAAGGAGCATGATGGCTGGATCATGTGGCAAGAGTAATGTTTAGTTTTGTAAAAAACTGCCTGTCTTCTAAAATGGCTGTATCATTTCATACTCCCACAGCAGTACAGGACAGTTCCTATTTGTTACACATCCAAGTCTGCATTTGGTGTGGTCTGTGTTCTGGAGTTTGGCTATTGTAATGGGTATGTATTAAGTTTCTTTTCATCCAGTTTTCCACTCTTAATTTTTTTGGTTCCTTCCAATTTGTGCAGGAAACTATAGACAAGTTAGCTCTGTAGAATTTCCTACAGTCAAGAGTTTTGCAGACTTCATTTACTGGTCAAACTGGACCTGTTCTTCAGCTTGAATTTCCTGTGACTTGGCTGTTGGATTTGGAGATGTCCAAGTCCATCTTCTCAGAATCTCTGACTTTGCTCACTATTGCCTTTTCCCTAGAACTGTCACTGAGTGGGGGGAGCTCAAAGAACGTGTTGTTGAATGAATACAGTTTCTGTTACTGACAGCTAATATGGTTTTGGAAAGTTTCTATAAGCAATAACTGTAGGCCACAGTGGGAAAAAGCAGTGGTTTTAAGTAAGGCACATAGGAGAAAATAATGGAGATAGACAAAAAGACAAAATCTACAAACTCCTATTTCAAAGATTCTCTTACTCCAATGAAGAACTCTTATGACCAAAACGTCAACAGTGCTTCCACTGAGTAACTGACTGTCAAGCAAAGCACAGACTATTGTGATGTAAGAAATATATTTAGTCTTCATCCCTGGTATCTGGCACAGAGCTTCTAAAACCCTCATAACTTCTTGAGTAGTAGGGGTTTGAAGAGCATATTTTACTATTTAGATTTTGTTCTGGTTCCTGGCAAAGAGATTCTGAAATGCTTATAATTTTATGAGTGATTGGGGTGAGAGGAACACCTTTTTTAATTAATAAATACAGCCCCTTTCAACCATACCTGAATATATGGTAATGAATAACTCAAAGAAGAGGGAGGCTAGTCACAGAGCAATCACATGATTAGAGGATTAGAACTTTTAGCCCCACTCCTTGATTTCTGAGAAGGGAAGAGGGGCTAGAGATTCAGTTAATAATTGATTATGCCCATATGATGAAGCCTCCATAAATTCTAAACAATGGGATTCAGACAGCTTCCAAGTTGGGGAACACATGGAAACACAGGGAGGGGACAACCTTGAAGAGGCATGGAAACTCTGTGCCTCTTCCCATGTACCTTGCCCTATGCATCTCTTCCATACGGCTATTCCTGCACTGTAGCCTTTATAATAAAAGTAAACCAGTAATAGTATTTTCCTGAGTTCCAAAAATTATCCAATCTGGGGTGGGAGTGGGTGGGAGGGAGGGTCAAGGGAACACCTGATTTATACTTGGTCAGTGAGAAGTATAGGAGGCTTGGATTTGCAATTGGCATTTGAAGTGGGGGGCAGTCTTATGGGACTGATGAGCTCTTAACCCCTAAGGTCTATACTAACTCTAGTTGATCAGTGTCAGAATTGAATTCAATTGTAGGGCACCTTGCTGGTGTCTACAGAGAACTAGAAAATTGCTCAGTGTAGAAAACCCATGTATTTGGTGTCAGAAGTGTTGAATATAGATAAAAAACCTTTTCCCACTTAACTACATTTATGCTTTTGGCACATGGAGATCCAACTTTAGCTGTAAAACAGAAATGCCTCCAGTATTACAAAAATCACACTGCCACTTGCTATCTTTGATAATTTTCAAGCAATTTATGGAAGTATTCAAAGTTAAGGTTGCTTTTTTTAACTGTTTGGGTATCTACTAATTGAAAGTCTGCAGTTAATCATGACAGCTGTCATCTATTATCTTCTACAGGAGAATGATTAAAAATTATCCTCTGAAGTCAGATGGACTAAGGGTTGCCTCGCAAATTTAAACAGTTTGCCTTAAGTTCAGCTAGAAACATCGATGTTTCTTTTTCACATTTGTGAAGGCACAGATCTCTTTAAACTGTTGTAAGGATTAAGGGATATAAGTGCTTAGAACATTGCCCAGAACACAGAAAGCCCTCATTACATGTTATCCAAGATTAACAACAATAAGATAAAGATTGTGTTCCTTTTGACAATAAAGTATACAAAATGAAAAAACTAATATGTTTTGAAATTCTATAGCATTTAGTGATGAGTTCCTATAATTTGGTAATAAAAAACACCAAGATAGTTCAATTTCAGTTAAAGTTTGATGAAAAAAAGAGGCCTGCTACCTAATCATTAATATATTAGAAATCCTTTTACCTTTGAAGCCCAAAATTAAGGCAAAGTCTTTGCATTAATTAAAAAAAAAAAAAAGAAAAAACAAAGAAAAACTTGGTCTAAGATCCAGGATTCATTACTAGAAGAATATCATGATAATTTAAAGATCTCTTCCCCTTCCTGCTAACTCTAATTATGGATTCCCTGTTCAAATTTCATACCTGCAATAATGCCAGACCTTCTTCATTATCTCTGTGCTGTGACCTTTCCATTTTCAGTAGACTGGACACATTAGTTAGACCTTTCAGCTTTTTGGAAGGGACTTTTAGGGTTTCACATAGTTGTAGCAATCTTAGAGATAAGATAAAAAAAATTATTTGCCTATTTTTTGAGTACCATTAATTTTTGTTTTGTTTTTTCTTTTGAAATACTGTTGTCATCTCTTTTCTGCCCTCATATTCTAGGACTACAATATTCTTTTATTAACAGTAACTAATCTTAGCAGTAAGTCCCCTCAAAAAAGTCCTGACAATCATTATTTGGCCTTTCAATTTATTCAGATTTACCTCAAATCATGGGGTGTAGGCTGCTTCATAAAGGAAAAAATTCCCTGTACTTCTAAATGTGATTCTTAGACTAATACAGCACACAAGGCTGTCATTTATTGTGAATTGTTAGGTAAGAGATATAGTAGTACTCTGTCTTAACTATGACTATGGACTCTAATGTGCTTTATTCTAAATTACTAGCAAAATGAGTAGTATTCAATATTAAAGTAAAAAAAATTGTTCTTCAAATTGGGTTGATTAGACTGTCAATAGAAACTGACTTATTGCTACTCTCACTTCTAGCAGAAAGCAACTTAACTGTGTTAGATTTGATTCTTTAATTCCATAAAATCAAGGACAAAAATCTCAATTTGGTTGCTTCAACTTAATAGCATTTTGGGGTTCTAAATAGTCCTGCTAATTAAATTTGCAGGCAATGTGAACAATAGTGGAACCCAAGACCCATCCATCTCTCTGAGATCCTATTCAAAATATTAATATTTGTAAAGAAAAATGTAGGCAGTATTAACCCCACCAATCATTATTTTCATTAAACTGCTAGGATGAACTTCAGTTATCCAAAAATCATCAGTAGGCCATCATGTTTAAGCATAAAGACCTGTCGGTATGTTTTCCCAAGAAGGTTAGGTTTCTGATTTCTTAACTAAAATAAAGATCCATTTATGAAGTTTCTTCTGAAAGTTTATTAAAGTCAATTCTGTATTAAGTCATTCACTATTCCAAATGTTCTATATATCAACACCTAATCACCATTTATAACATTGTTTCTATTGGCCAGACTTTCCCAAAGTATAGCCACAGTGGCTGTTTGTTTGATTAGTAACCCCATTTGTCTGATCATGGACGTAGACATATGACCCAGTGTATATCAACCGTTAACAGCTCTTGTCACAAAATCAGTCCAAAGATAGGCATATCACCTAAGCTGGGCCAATCAGAGTGTATTTCCCAGAATTTTCTAACTGAACCTAAGATGGTTAAGAGATTTTTTTTTTCTTCTTTTTTTTATAAGGCTAAAAAGATAAATTGGGAGCTATGTCTACCATTCTAGTGAGACAATTTGTCTAAAAGAGTGAAGCAGGGATGAGACTGATATATGAAATAAAGACTGTAACAAATGACCAATTTGGGAGATGTTAGATTAAACAAAATGAAATGGATTTGATCTATGCAGGACTCTTAATATGCTTACACATCCAAACATAATTCACTTTATCACTTTTATTTTATAGAGGTACCACTAAGACCTCTGTATCACTTTTACTCAGAATATCTTTTAAGAACACGTGTTCCAAATATACTTTGAGAAATGTTGCTATAGGAAACTTCATTCAGAGATCCAAGGCAGCACTCTGCTGTGTCAGTAGAAGGGAAAGTATTTTCAGTATTGTTATTGCTATATCAGTGGAAGGGAAAATATCTTGAACGAGTTGTAGGAGTGGAGTAATGGGTGAAATAGGTAAAGGGGGGAGGCATTAGTGAGAATGTTGATACCTTGATCTGGGTGATGATTTTATGAGTATATACACATGTAAAATTCATGGAGCTGTACATTAAGATTTATGCATTTTATTATATGTACCTCAATAAGAAAATAAATGAATACATTTTTTAAAAGTTAAAAAAAAAGTGAGCTGTGAAAGCAAAAACTAGACAATGGGCAGTCTTTGAAGTACATCTCTATAGTTGCAGCTACATGATGAGGAGATAGCCTAAAAGATGAAGGTCATCTTTTCTGATGATGCAGGGTGATCATTGTGAAGAGCAGCTATTATGTACTGTAATACTCTCATCCACACACCAAACATGATTATTTGTCCAATATTAAACCAGGTACACTTTGATTACGTATTAGCTAATTGGCTTTTCAGTACATCCCTTCTTCTTTAGTATTAGGCTGTCCTTCTTGCAAGCAGTTTACAAGCCTGCTAGCAGTCTTTCTATTACCCCTTCAACTTTTCTCCACAAACTCACATCCCATCCCACCCTTTCTATTTTGCTACTGCTGTTGAGAGTTATACTTAAAGCAGAATCTGTGCTTAAAATTCCCAAGAACATATTTACTATTCCCAAGAACTATGTACTAGTTCACAAGCATTTTAGGCATACCTTAAACTAAGATGCAAAACATACTAATATGAAAAGAAAAAGATGTGTAAATATCAGGAACAAGTAGTCACTGAAAATCACTGGCAGCTGGTGTGACTTTTAAGAGCACTGGAAAAGAAACCTCTATTTGTGACTTGTCACAAGATGAAGAGCAGTAATATTCTGGAAAATTATACTTGTTGTTTGTGCAAATAACATAATACAATTTGAAGTAAAGGAAAAATACAGCAATATGATAAATATCAGGTAAGAGTAGCATACCATTACCTTCAAATCGTTTAAAATGAAGTTGAAGGGAGTTAAAGTGGACAGAATGTTTTTCAAATTTCAATACAGAAAAGTGAACTGTGAAAGGAGGCATTTTGTGATTTTCAGATTCTTCTCTATAAATTCTCTGAACTTAACATTCAGAATTGCATTCAGCAGCAATTTAGGGCAGAAAATATATTCCCAAATTGTTCATCTTCTTATAAAGCAATAACAAAAACAAAAAAACAAAAACCTGAAACAAAATATTTATATTCCACAAATGTCTGCTCTGGCAATACAGGTAGAGATTATAGACTTTTACTAATTATGTTTAACCATTTTTTATTACATAGCTATATTACCTATTCTTCAAGTGGTTGAGATGATATTGAATCTGTTCATTTTCTCTTATACTGTTACTCAAAACTGCTCTAGAAGAGAAAAAAGATTGAATAAATATTAATTTGAAACACAAGTACTGTAATCTGTTTATTTTTTCTCTATAATTTCTTTCAAGTGCCCTACCTTATAAGCAGGCACGATCAATCACTTTTCCTTGTGTATTAAGTATACTTTAAGCAGAGATCTAATCAAAGTTCTTTCATCACATTATATTGCTGAAATTAATATGCCTGACTCTCTTGATGAATTTCAACTCCTTGAAGGCAGAATTCTTAGTTTCTTTGTGTCCCCTCCCTAGCATGGTAGCTCCCATAAAAAATTTCAATTTGAACTTCTTCCTAAAGTATTGCTATTGATCAAACAAGATAAAAGTTTACAGATAGCAAATCAGGGCACATATACTTAATTTTTATTTCACTGGTGGAATTCCAAGTTTTCAAAATTAACAAGGACTTTTTTTGCTGGAGGCTAATGTCATCAAAAGACATTAAATATAATTTATGAAAAAGAAAAACTATCACCATAAAATAGATACTTACTAACATTTAAAAGGACTGTGTACAGGAGACATATCAGTAAAACTCAGAAGAGTGAGTGGAGAAATCTCATACTCACATTATTACTGATTCCATCATTGTTTGCAGATGCTCTCTGCTACTCTTTGAAAGAGGTTGCCAGTTTTTTCTCTTGTCAGATGCTATCGCTACCTGTTTTAAATTAGTATGTGTTGTATGCCCTGTTATTAATGAAAGAGGAGATTTTGGTCAATCTAGAAGCTTGTATTTTTTTACTTAAAGTGTCTCATGTATATATGTTTCTAAAAGAGCTAGCAGAATTATAAAAACCAAAATATTATAAAGCCGTATAAACTGTTTAATTTCTTTTTTATTGCACAGCCATTGTTGAATATGAATATGCTATTGTTATGTTAACTGAAATACTATTAACTGATAATTGCAAATACAAAACCAAGACATTTTAAATGACAAATCAAGCTATAATTATCAGGAGAAACCTGAAAGTCTGGTTCTCAGATATGACCTGAATTGAAGAGCTTCATTGAGAAGACTAGAAAACTATTTCTACCAAATGTTGAATGGCAATGGGAGCAAAAGAGACTAGCCAAACTGCAAACAGATATTCGATGTCTACAAAGTTGTTAATATTGTTCTATTTACAAGGGGTAAACAAAGGAAATATACTATTGGCTCACATGAAAATTAGTTTTGGATAAAAGGGAGATTAAATAATTTTAATTACAGGTATAAAAAGATTTATTACAAGTATTAAAGAAAAAGTACGGCACTATGACAGTGTAAACCCAGATGACCTAACGTGGTCTTGGTGAAGAGAGGTAGGTATGGAATTTTCCACAAAGAAGTGATATTTAAGATGACTACTCCAAATTAATTTACTCCAAACCCTGACAGTGGCTCCAAACTAATCTATACAGGGGTGGCAGAACAGAAGCATATTTGTTTTAAATCAGTATATATAAATATATATATATATATATCACAGATCAGTAATAATTCAGACTGTGAAACACTTTGATTTTCTCTAGTTCCTATCAATTTAGAACCCTACACATTATTTTGCTAGAGGTACTAAGTAGAATGTCAGTTGATCAAAATAACTGTATAGTCAGTACTACTTACTCTTGCAAAAATGAGAGTGCAGCTGTTTATTACAATTTTTTACTTTTGCAGAACTCATAAGATGCTGAGGATTTTTTTCATGAATGTTAATAGCTTGAGACAGGTAAAACAAGACATAAAAAAGAAATACCTTCAGAAGACAGATGCTTTGGATGACTTTTATTTATTTTTGCTGTGTTTCTAACCTAAAGGGAAAAACAAATGCACATGCACACAGAATTAAACATCTGATAAACAGCCATTGCTTTTGGTATAGACTTGTCATGTATACTACAGCAATTTTTGGACAATAGTGATAACGTATAATAGAATTTCATACGGTATCAAAGAATGTTTTAAGGAAATCATTACTAATTTTGCCTGTGAAAGAGTTACATATTTTACCTGCAAAGAAAAATATAGGCACTGCCTAGTATAGAGTAAAACACAGAAAAAATTTCTGATTATTTCATTTATTCTTTTGTAAAAGAGGGGCAAAATTATGGTAGGAAAAAAGCTAATTCCTCCCAGACTAATATCTCTGTATGTTAATAAAAATCTCACTGACTGACTGGCAGATATGCTTGTCATTTAATATATGAATGCCATAGAGTTTGAGCACTTTATTCCTAGTTTTGCCTTTTGGACACCTTAGCAATGCCCCATGACCTCAACTCTCCAAAGAATTCTCTGATTCTTTAGAAATTGAAGTAAACAATTTTTATCTGAAAACTTTTACAAGTCATGTTGCAATAGCAACCACATAGCAAAATGAATTACTATAATTTGTAGTATAACTGACCTTTAGTCTTCACATACTCCTTTACTTAGAACATCTGATATTTTCAATCAGAGTCCTGAATAATAAACTCAGTATTTTTATTACCTCTTTTTCTGGTAACTCTACCTCCTCCTCATCAATTTTTCTTTTTGGATTTCTTTTTAACTGTTGAGACCTTTTCTTGGAAACATTTGCTTTGCTAGACATCTTGATCTAAACAACTGTAACAATGTTTCAAAAAAATCTGTAAAGATAAAGAGGACAAAGAATAATGCTTAAGACTTGCACAATATTTTGTTAAAAAGACTACCTATTCCAAAGGTATAGGTGTTCCTATATTCCAAATAAAGTTCCAAATTCACTTTAAAAAAAAAATTAAAGTTTTGGGATAGTATTCTGTGTTTTTAAAACATTTAAACACATTTTAAAACAAACATTGGTTTCATTAGAGTAAGGATATCTAATTCAATTTCATTCCTAGAAATGTCTTCCATTTGTATGGCTTTAAAAAAGTCATGTAAAAATGCTTTCCTATCTCTTACTTTATATTCCCTCATAAAATAACATTACCTCCAGTTTTAAATCCAAGAAAATGGATATATAAAGTGTTGAACTGTCTTATTCTGGTCACAGATCAAGTCAGTTTGAAGAGTAGTACTCAGATCTTCTTATTTTAAGTCTAGTGGATTTGTCAGTTAACTTAATGCCAAAGGTGGAAGGAGATAATTTTTAGGATTATACTATGAATCTATGTTATAGAAATTCATGTAATAAATTCACACATAAGGATTTAAGCTATAACTCTGTCTGGACTATGTGCATTTTAACAAAAGCACAGAAGTATACTTATTAAATATCTTCCCACAAATTACAAAAGAGGCACAGGAGTGTGGATGGGATGTTGATGACAAAATGACTCCTTTTCCCTAAGAGTCTTCTATCACCTAACTCATGTCTGCTGAAAGGGACAGAGGAATAGGATACTTATTCTTTCATTAGACTGTAAGGGACAGATAGCTTAGAAGTTAGGTATTGTATATGTGGGGACATACACACACACACACACACACACACACACACACACACACACATATATATATACACAAACACATACATACCAACATACAAATGTGTGGTGTGAACATTTTATATATATGTTTTTTTAGGCATATACAGCTAGTTATATAAAATCAATCACCATTACTTTTCTAAAATCTAGAGTTAATTATATGAATACAGTTTAAATAAACATGCAGATTTAGAGACAGACAATAAAGGGGGTACTCTGGGTGGATCTATTCCCTCAAAATTAACAGTTTTAAGTTACCTTTTTTTTTCCCCCAGTAAGACTGAAAAAAATAGTGGGAAAGAATTGGCTGAAAGATCATAAACTACACTTGGGGATAACATGTCAGATCCCTTATAAACAGCAGTGGAAGCTAAAATGTACTTTACCCTGCTCTTGAACAATGTGGTACCTTCTCCACACCCAGTTTCCTGAGCTCCATTCCTGAAATGTCTAATTCTCTCAACTTGAAATCCATGCCCTTATACTTCCCCTACTTAAAAAACAAGCCATATGAGAGTTTCACTTGTGGACCTCTCCTGGAAGGGCTGCTACATACAGCAGTTCAGGTTGTTCACTGAGTATCTAGGTGAGGGGGCAAGTAAGAGCTGAGATTTATCCCTCTCTCCATTTGGTAGATTAAACATGGTATAAATTCCTTCTCACTCCTGTTTTTGAGGGGTGAAGTCTATGCCTGCTTGCTTAAATCTTGGCAGATTCTGTCCCTCAGCAGTGAAATATGGTGGAAATGGTTCTGAACCAGTTTTCTGTCCCAAACATGGGCTGGCAGTTGCAATTCCTCTTCCTTAGAGTATTTGCTCTTGGCACCCAACTACCATGCTATGAGGAAGGACAATATGGAGAGGAACTGAATTCCCAGAGAAAGGCCCCAGCAACAGCCAGCATTAACTTGTCAGCCAGGCCCATGTACCTAAGCCAATATGCTGCAGCTGACACTACATGGAAAAGACATGAGTCAGGCCTACGAAGTCATTTCCAATCCCACATTGTAACAAAGTAAGTGACTTTTCTCAATTAAAAAAAAAATTCCTTCCTCAGTTTCTACCTTATAACATCCAATTTACCATGCCATTTACAGTCCTTGACAATCTAGTCCTTCTTAGTTTTCCATACTTCTCTTCCACTACTCCTTCACTCAATCTCCCTCTCTAGATTTGACTATTTTCTCAACACACTTTGAGTAATGCACACACTGTACCCTCTACCTGAGCTGCTCTCAACCTGTCTCTGCCCACCCTCTCAGATTATAAATCATCTACTTCTCAAAGCCTTTCTACTTAGTTGTTCTCTAAGTCTGTAGGTTCATGGGTCTCTCTCAGTTGGCAATTATAATTTGGTTATGTTTATTTTTTTGTCTAGATAGTCTTTACTCAATAACATGTAATTCAGTGTGATTCCAGAATTTGATTCACAAACTGTTTGCTACAGTCCTAAGTACAGAAAACAAGAGTATTCATTTAGAAACTTTCATAGCAACTTGACAATTTTATGTATGTTTAATCTGATCATTAAATTAAAAAATTGGCTTTGCTTTTTCTTTCTAAATTCCACTTTTCCAGTTACTCATTTTAAAAATAAAATACTTTCCTTTTTTGGAATAATTTTAGGTTCACAGGAAAATTAAGCATAAAGTACAGAGCTCCTCTATACTCCCCATGCTGCCGGACAGCCCCTCTCTGCCAAATTTTCCGCACTATCAACATTCCATACCACAGAGGTCCATTTGCTACAATCCATGAACCTACACTTACACATCGTATCAACAGAAGTCTATCGTTTACACTAGGGTACATTCTACGGGTTTGACTAGCAATTTATTTTTTATTGTATTTTACAAAAGAATCAGTTGTGACCGATTAAAAAACAAAATTTGGTCCTTTACCACAGTCAGTCTGAGAAGCACTGTTTTCACTGATACCAACTTGAGGCAATAAACCAATAATACAGAGAAGTTTCTCAGCCTCAGCACTGTTACCATTTTGCGTGGGATAAGTCTTTGTTGTTGGGGCTGTTCTGGGCTCTGCAGGATGTTCAGCAGCAGTCCTGGTCTCTCCCACGAGATGCCAGTACATCCTGCTCACTCTTCCTGTCCCACAGCAAGTGGTAACCAGAATTGTCTTCAGATATTATCAAATGTCTCCTGGTGCAACATCACCCCAGGTAAGAACCACCGTCAAAAGGGAACCTAGGAGGAGGATAAATTGTCCAGGTTCCAAATCCTGGTTCTGCCTTTTAACTATCTGTATATACAGCCTTGGATAAGTAAATTTGCTCACTTTCCTCACGGTTAAATAAGTTACTAAAAGGACTGACCTCAAAGACTTTCCGTAAAGCTAAAGTTTTGTACGAAATACATAAAATGCCTAGAATGATACTTGGGACATAGTAAGCATTCAATAAATAAAAGCCATAGTTTTTCTACCTCTATTGGGCTAACTGCAGCATATACAGGAAGAGAAAATATGTCCTACATCCACAGGAAACCACAGCCTAGCTGTAGTGGGTAGAGACAGATATGAAAACAATTACTATATACAATTACGGACAATATGACAAGTGTTATAGGAGACAAATGAGTGTCATTATCCCAAATTGGTGTCTGCAGGAGGAAGGGTTTTCTGAGTTTTCAGAGAAAAAGGTAGCATTTGAATTACACCTTGAAGTGTAATTCATGTAGGAAACAAGGAAGCATCTAGGTTGTCTTGTTTTCCTTACCAGTTTGCTGAAACGCGTGGAAACCAGTGATCAATCTAGGCCTGTAAGTGGGCATAAGAGCTGAGTACGATGCTGGCAAAACACAAATACACAATGTTTACCTTTGGACAAATGATGCCTCGGGGTAGCGACACTGCCAAACCGCAGTTACCTCAAGGCGCAAAGACTAATCACTTCGTCCCTTGACTGGCCGAGAGATACTAAGGAAGGAGGATGAGGATGATTCGGGGCAAGGAGGGGGGAACCTTGAACTGCGTCAGTCTCTCGGAGCAAATCAAATACTTCAATCTCCGGCCCCGAAGGGCCGACGTGTTCGGATTTCCCTCCCCTTGGGAAATCCTCCCGCGTTCCTCAAGTACAAGCCGCGGAGTTTGCCAAAAACTCGTGGGCCACAAACCTCGTCCCGCAAATTGGACCCAGCGGCGGGTTACGCGCTTTCACTACTCACCGACGACTCCTCGCGAATCCTTCAGGGAGCCGCGCTCAGAGAAATTCGCGCCTAAACACTCGAAAGCCCGGAGACCCGGAAATAGACGTGCAGAAACCGGAAGCGCTTTTGAGGCTGGCGTCATCAGGAGCGCGCCCGCTACAGCGCGCGGAGATTGGCTGGAGGGAGGGCGGTGTCGGCCTCCGCCCCCTGTCGCGCTGGGCCGGCTCAGTGGGGACCCCAGCTGTGTGCACCTCAGGCGCGTAAGCTACGGGCGGCGAAGTCCAGCCGGTTTCTCCCACAGCTGAGGGCCGAGACAGGCCGGCCAGTGAGTAAGACTGTGCACCTGGGGCACGTCAGCCTTTCAAATCCCGCCATTGTTCTGGCTCCAGTCTCCCCCGCCCATCCCGCCCTCTGAGCCTTTCCCTGCTCCCAGCTTCATCCGCAAGTGTCAGGATCCCGCTCTCCTAGACCTTCTCTGTAGGTTTAGACTCTCGACAGCCCTCTCACTTTCAGCAAGGTCGTAGGAAGTCAGAAGTACTGCTGGAAAGAAGGTGCTTCTAATGCCCAGAGGCCATGTCGCCATCTGCCCGGGGCACCCAAGCACCCCGAAGTTTCGCCAGGCTGCGTGCGATCCACTTGTACGATTCCAGAGGGGTGCGCTGGCCCCACAGCCGCCTGCCTTCTGGGCCGCGGCCCTCTTTACTGTGAGGGTTTTTCTATGATGTGGCGGGTCTGACGGGAAGTGACTCGCAGCATACAGAAGGAGGTGAGGGTAAGAGGTTAGAGTAGGAGACCCAGGTCGAAATTGACATGGAACTGCAAATTGCAAACTTGTTCTCAGTTTTTATCTAGAAAGAGCAATCTTTTAGACGCTTGAAATCTTGGATGATGTATGCTCGCATTATGTATATTAAGTTTGCAATCGCTCGATGATTTTCTCCCAATATTTACTTATGTTTAATGATTTTATTTATGCTAATATTAACTTTAGTTGTCATGCTTTATATTGTCAGCTCCAACCCCAATTGGCTGAACATTGGAGTTGCTAGCCTTTCTTCAAGTATTAATGTGGAACCTCATGTCAACAGTCAAAACTTGAAAGTTATTTGATTCAGAACTGTAGGTGTTTTTACCCATAATTTTGGAGAATATAAGGGTGGGCTTCATCATTGCTCTTCAATACATACTAATCTTCTCTATCTTATTATATTTGCTTTGCATATTGGTTCCCTGGATGCTTGAAGCCTGTGTTAATGGATCTTAGGAGAAAATTCAGAGTCCTGTTACCAGCAGCAGTAGCTGTGTTTTTATATGAAAATGATGTTTAATTCCAGTGTTTACCAATTTGCCTTGTGAATTTCAGGAAGTCACTTCTATATGGCTCTTTACTATCATTTGTCCAAGTTTTGGAAAACTCCACGAGTATTTTGTGTGAAATGAGTGTGATATTTTCTATCCACAGTCTAGTCTCAGGCAGTTTTCAAATTGCCTTTTATATCATTACCATCCAAATGGCTCAGTTGTAAATTATTTTTCTCACCGACCTTTTAAGCTAGTACATGTAGTGTAAGGCTTGCAAGAAGATGGATGACAGGACCCTGTGGATTTAATAGAATAAAATCATAATAGCTTTAAAAAATAATAGAAATTGTTTTTGTTGTACTATATTTAGACTTCATTCTATGCACTTTTTACCTTTTTGAACGTATTGCATTTACAGTTTTTTTCTTTTGATTTTTTCACGTAGTACATTTTGAGCCTGTTTCCTTTTTAAAGAAACTATTCATAACATATTTTAAATTTTGACTTATGTATTATATACTTGCAGATAAGTGCACACATCATAATTGTACAGTTTGACCAATGTCCACAAACTGAACACATATATAAGTATTCAGATCATCACCCCAGAGCCTCTCTCATGCACCCTTTCCATAATAGCCACAATAAATAATTGCTCTCTGACATTAAAGATGAGTTTTGCCTATTTCCCAAAGATATTTTAATAGTTACATAGAAATTTGTTGTTTGTATATTCTATAATTCACTTATTCCTATGTGTTTGACATTGATGATTTTTCTGAGTTTTCTTTATTGCAAGTAAAAATATAGGCAATGTGTACTTTATGTAGTAACTCCCAGGAGTGATGTTCCTCAGTGGAATGGCACAATCATTTCTGAGACTTTTTGTGCATATTGGTAATTTGCTTTCCAAAGCAATTAAAGCAGTTAATAGTCCCCCTACTGGTTTATGTCTTTTATTTGGGTATTCTTATTATCTTTAAAGCTTCACTAAATTTATAGGTAAGAAATGGTATGAAAAATAGAATTTTAAGCTTACTTTATTGCTTTGTTCATTATACGGCATGGTAAATATTTTAGTAAAATTTTCATCTCAAAATCTTTTAAAATACCAAGTTATATATGTTGAGGCTATATGACCCTGACAAGTATTTAGTAGTACAGGTGAACAGTTTAACAGTTTGCTGTGTGGAATTTTGATTAAGCTACTTTATTACTTGATTTCTCTGGACCTGAATTTTTATGTCTATAAAATGATGAAATTGGACTTAGTCACTGGTAAGACTCTGTGTTGTATTAGTAACATACAGCTGTAATATTGTAGTTAATAGACTAGCAGAGAAAAAATATATGAAGATATGTCTATATATATATAACTTGGCATACATTTTGTATAAATATAAAATATATATAAATAAACATGTTTTATACAAACATAAAAACTGTTCTAGTATATAGTAGTGTGGGTGATGATAGATGTATAAGCAGGGACACAGTGCCATGGTGTGGATTACTAAAGAGGCCATTTAGTTCAGTTCGTGGGTTCAGGAAGAGGCTGTGTATATTAGTTAAATGCAAGGACTTTGAAACCTCCTGCCTCGGCTTAAATGCTGGCTCTTCTGTGCCTCAGTTTTCTCATCTGTAAATTGGGAATAGTACTAGTATTTGTCTCTTGGTGGTGTTGTGAGGTCTGAAATAGCTACTGTACACAAAGTCCTTAGAGAAGTGCCTATCACATAGAAAACTCAACATATTGGAAATGATGCTTTAGCTCAATTAGCTGAAGAGGAACACTGAAAGCAGATAGAAGTGCTAGAGCAAGTCACAGAACTTTAACATATCCAGGATACTGTAGGTAATCCAGTATTTCTGGAATACAAAATGTGTAGAGGACAAAGGCAGAGATAAGTCTGAGAGGTAAGCGGGATGGTGCCGTGCAGGCCTTGAGGGCTTCTTTGTGTCGTTCAACACTTTTTCCTCCAGCACCCAACACAATGCCTGTCACAAAGCAGATCTTTAATGAAAACTTTTTTTACAGCAGAAAATTCATAATTTTATTATGAAATAAAACAAAACATATAAAGCATATCTGTGCTTACTGTAAAGCAAAGCACAAATATAAGCTGTTATACTGTGACAGCAAACTCAAACAGCAAACATTTAAAACACTCAGTGCTAATGGCTAACTTAGCCATTTTTCATTTGCTATATTTCTTTCCTGAAATATACTTTCCATCAAACAATAATACAGTAACTCATTTTTGTTCTTAAAAAAATGTATATAGTATGTCAAAAGTTCTGGATTCCCATCCAATTCTGCCCAAAGGGAGCCATTTTTGTTAATTTGATAGCAGTCTGTCCAGACTTGGGGATGAAAGGTGTTTAACACAAATAGAATCACATTGTACATATTCTGTGTTCTGTAACTTGCTTATTTCATTTAATAAGAAATCCTGGGCATCTTTCCATATCGTGCACGAAAATCTACTGCATTGTTTTGAAATTTTGCACAGTATTTCCACACACAATAATCTACCATACCTTACTTAGCATCCCCTATTGATAGACATTTAGGTTGACTTATTATACTTTGAACAACAGAAAATATGTGTGAATTAACTATGTTAATTTTTATATTTATTTTTATTAAGGTTTCACATGAAAAATATTGTGGTTACTACATTCACCTATATTATCAAGCCCCCCTCCACCTCATTGCAGTCACTGTCCATCAGCCTAGTAAGATGCCACAGAGTCACTACTTGTCTTCTCTGTGCTACACAGTCTTCCCCATGACCCCTGCAACACCATGTGTACCAATCATAATGCCCCTCAATCCCCTTCCCCCTCCATTCCCACTTGCCCTCGCCCACCCCTCCCCTTTGGTAACTGCTAGTCCCTTCCTGGAGTCTGTGAGTCTGCTGCTGTTTTGTTCCTTCAGTTTTGCTTGTTCTTATACTCCACATATGAGTGAAATCATTTGGTACTTGTCTTTCTCCACCTGGCTTAGTTCACTGAGCATAATACCCTCCAGCTCCATCCATATTGTTGCAAATAGGAGGATTTGTTTTCTTCCTATGACTGAATAATATTCCATTGTGTATATGTACCACATCTTCTTTATCCATTCATCTACTGATGGACACTTAGGTTGCTTCCATTTCTTGGCTACTGTAAATAGTGCTGCAATAAACATAGGGGTGCATCTGTCTTTTTCAAATGGGGCTCCTGAATTCTTAGAGTAAATTCCTAGGAGTGAAATTTCTGGGTCAAATGGTATTGCTATTTTTAGTTTTTTGAGGAACCTCCATATTGCTTTCCACAATGGTTGAACTAGTTTACATTCCCATCAGCAGTGTAGGAGGGTTCCGCTTTCTCCACATCCTTGCCAGCATTTGTTGTTCCTTTAAATGAAAACTTTTTGAATGAAAAAATTAATTAGGAGGCTATACATTATGCTCTACATGATGCAGAGCCTTTGAAAACGCTTACGAGAAGTGTGACGTGATCCTATTTACCTTGGTGTCAGTGTGTAGAATGGATTAGAAGAGTCTAAGACTGTTTGGTAAAACAAGCTAAGAGGCTATTAAGCAAGACTAGAATTAGAACAATGATAGTAGTTGTGGACTAGAGGGGCCAAAGTTATAAAATATCAGATATAGGAAGCAGAAAAGGAGAAGAGATAAAATCATACCGATATACCCACTTCCTACTTGTTTCCCTTCTCATTAGTAGCCCCCATTTTGCCTCTCTTTAAATACACATACATTGTGCTTCTTCTTCTAGGTCAGACTTATTCTGTTTGGGTGTTTTCCATGCTTCATCATGTTGAGGGCTAAGACTCGGCTTTTCATGTATTCACTTCATCACCTGAAGCAGCTGAAAGAATCATCATACTCCAGGCTTATATGGCAGCGACTTCTGCACCAGCAACAGCCTCTTCACCCAGAATGGGCTGCTCTGGCTAAAAAGCAGCTGAAAGGCAAAAACCCAGAAGACCTAATATGGCACACTCCAGAAGGGCTCTCCATAAAGCCCTTATATTCCAGTAGGGATACCAAGGACTTGCCTGAAGAACTTCCAGGAGTGAAGCCATTCACGCGGGGACCATATCCTACCATGTACACCTTTAGGCCCTGGACCATCCGTCAGTATGCTGGTTTTAGTACTGTGGAAGAGAGCAATAAGTTCTATAAGGACAATATTAAAGGTCAGATTTTAATATGAGACCTAATATTTATGATCAAACATATACTTCCTAATCTTGGCTGTTTTGAAGGGAGTCTGGTTAATCTCTATAAAGATAGTCACTTGATAATTTTGTAGTTAAGGCCATACACTGGAGAAAAAAGATGTTTTTCAACTTCCATGGTTAAAAAGATATGTAAGGCAGAATAAAGTGCTAAATTCTTGAAAGCAAGCAACACTTACGTACACATTGTGTAAAAGGAATTAGGTAAAGTGAATTTGTATGAAGAAAACAAATTGGTTTGCCTTTGAGAGTCTTTTAATAACATTGTCAGGATAGGAATTGGAGGGGAAAATGGTTAAATAATGCCAAAAGAAAGTAATAAACAAATGATAATGTGATACAAGTATATGTAGTACGGTCTGGCTTCATGTCTCTGAAAATTATTTTAATTTCTATTTCTTCTTATCTAAATTAAAATCACACTGTTTGAATGCTAAGCTTGAGGAAATGTAAGTTTGTTTGGCCCAGGGAGGACTGATCTTATATTTAGACTCTTTTGTTTTTTTTTGCATGGTTTTCATATTTCAGTTTTCTAGAATATTTGACTAGCCAAGACACCCTATTATGGTTATATTAAATAAAAGAACAAAAATAGTTAAGAGAGCATACAAATACTAAATTGTTAATTATTGACAGCCAGATCTTTTCATGAATCTTACAAAAATTTCTGTCAAAAATTGTTAAGATAAAAAATGTCAGTTCAACATGAGATAAATGAGATGTTCTATTCTTATAGTGAGGTTTGACAAAATGTGTACATTTTAGCACATGGGAAATAGCTTAGGAAACGAAGTATATCTACATTTGTTTTGACACATGTAAGTCTAAAAATAATGTTTGCTATAAAAGCATACTATGATGAGATGAATCAATACTATGAGGAGTATTAAAGTAAATTGGTTTACTTTGATGCCAGCCTTATAACCCTACATTATTTTTCTTTGTATATTTAGCTGGTCAACAGGGATTATCCGTTGCCTTTGATCTGGCAACACATCGTGGCTATGATTCAGACAACCCTCGAGTGCGTGGTGATGTTGGAATGGCTGGAGTTGCTATTGACACTGTGGAAGATACTAAAATTCTCTTTGATGAAATTCCTTTAGAAAAAATGTCAGTTTCCATGACCATGAATGGAGCAGTTATTCCAATCCTTGCAAATTTTATAGTAACTGGAGAAGAGCAAGGCGTACCTAAAGAACAACTTACTGGTACAATCCAAAATGATATACTAAAGGAGTTTATGGTCAGAAATACTTACATTTTTCCTCCAGAGCCATCCATGAAAATTATTGCAGACATTTTCCAATACACAGCAAAGGTATCATCTGTGGTTATTATGTTTTTGCTGTAGTCTTCTGAATATAAGAATTTTAATGAAATAACCATAACCTAATTTGAATTTGGTAACTGAGGCAGAGTAAGAATTTTAGTATAAAGTCAGAGTGTGGGTTTTATGCATATTGTTAGTTTTTATTTTATTTTATTTTAATGTTCTAATTTTATGGTCTGTAGCAATCTGTGTACAGGACATTTACTGTATTTTCTTTATTAAAAATTTATTCTCTGATAATTGTTAGAATCAGGGAGGGCTCATAATTTACACTTCCTTATTTCTATCCAGCGTTCAGATTCAGTGTGGAAGTACACACTGCGTCAGACAGATGGAGAGAAAAATATAAGTTTTACTTCTGCTAAAAACTGGATTTGAAGATACCAGTTATATCTGAAACCACAGTGACATCCTAATATTTCACCCTGAATTAGGTTTATCTTCCTCAATCAGAGTGTTGAGGAAAGAAGGTTCTTATAGTGTTGCTGTTTAGCAGCAATCACTCCACAGAGAAACATAAAACTCCATTTTCCTCTGAGTAATTCACATATTTTCCCCCATCACTCACACTTCGACTTGCTGGCATGCTGTGGCCTTTACCTACCTTGAAGTTAGACTGTTATTTCATGGCAAAAGGCAACTCTCTCATCCACCATTAAACCTCTTATTTAATCTCTTACCTTAAATAATTGCTGTTATCTCAGATCTCTTGCAAGCATTGCCTGCTCTCTTAATTTGATATTTTGCTTTTACACTTTGTAGTTTTAGTTCTTTTCATATATTTTATTTGCCCATGGAAGTTGTTTTATATAGAGTTGCATATTTCTATCACCCTTTTCAATTTCAAGAACGTATGTAGAAGATTGCGTTTAGCCTGTGGCAAACACAAATAGCAGTAGCTTAAGCTAAATAGGAGTCAGTTCTCTTTCATCAAAAAGAAGGTGGAAGGTAGGCTACCAGGGGTAATTTATGACTTTTTGAAAGATCCTAATGTCATCTACAAGTTCAAAATTACTTTGTATCATCTTTCATGTAAGTGATAAAAATTAAGTTTCAGATTCTGATCAAATAATGCTCTATTGTAGCATTTTGTAAACTAAACTTTTGTATTATTCTCTTAAAAATTTTTTAATTGTGGTAAAATACACAACATAAAATTTACCATCTGAACTTTTTTTCAGTTGCATTGAGTAGTCTCACTCTTGTGCAGCCATCACCATTTCCAGAATTCTTTTCATCTTGCAGAATAGTAACTCCCATCCTTCCCTCCCTCCAGCCCCTGGCAACTACCATTCTACTTTCTGTCTATGAGTTTGACTGCTCTAGGTACCTTATATAAGTGGAATCATACAGTGTTTTATGTTTTGTGACTAGCTTATTTCACTTAGCATAATGTCCCTAAAGGTTCATCCATGTCATAGTATTGAATTTCACCCATGAAATTAACTTCCTTTTTAAGGCTGCATAATGTGCCAATATTGCAGTATTTCTGTTCTTAAATTCTGCTGCTACTTAAACCTCTCTGTAAAGAAGCACCTATTTGTTCCCTTGCTTCTTTGAAAACTCTCCATATACTCAAGTAGTCTCTCAAGTTCATGTAATTCAATCCCCTTATTGTTTTTGTGATAGATATTTTTCAGGAGTTTTTGGTTAGTTACAAATGAAATATTTGCAGATGTAAATTACAGGTAATCCATAGCATATGTTAACGACTAACAGTTTTTGAATGCTTAATATATTTTGCCATATTACTAAGTGGTTTAGGTGAATCATTTCATTTAATCCTATAATGAGTCCATGAGGAGGTATAATTATTATCTCTGCTTTATACTTAGGAAGCCAAGGAGTAACAAGGCTGAGAAACTTTCCTATAGACTTCATGGCTTGTTAAGTGACACAGCTAGAATTTGAGCAGCGTGATTCCAGAGCCTATGTTCTTTTTTTTTTAATTGAAGTATAGTTGATATGTAATCTTATATTGGTTTCAGGTATACAACAGTGTTTCAACAGTTACCCATATTATTAAATCCTCACACCCATTAGTATAGTTACTATCTGTCAACATAGGAATTGTTACAGAATCATTGACTGTATTCTCCATACTGCACTACCATCCCTGTGACCAACTTATATTATGATTGGGAATTTTTGTACCCTTTTATCCCCCTCAACCTCCCCACCAACCCATCTCCCACGGTAACCACTCATCACTTCTCAGTGTCTGTGAGTCTGTTGCCATCTTTTTCACTTTACCTTGTTTTGTTTTAAGGTTCCACAAATAAGTGAAGTCATACATTTCTCCACCTGGTTTATTTCACTTAGTGTAATACCCTGTAGGTCCACACATGGATAAATGGCAAATTTGTTACAAATGGCAGGATTTCTCTCTTTTTTATTGTGGAATGATATTCCATTGTGTATACATACTACATCTTTATTCACTAATCTATTGTGGCAATAAACATAGGGGTGCATATACCTTTTTGAATCAGGAATTTTGTTTTCTTAAGGTAGATTCCTAGAAGTGGAATTACTGGGTTGTATAGTATTTCTATTTTTTAGTTTTTTGAGGAACCTCCATGCTGCTTTCCACAGTGGCTGTACCAATTTGCATTCCCACCAACAGTGTCAGAGGGTTCCCTTTTCTCTGCATCCTTGCCAACACATGTTCTTGTCTTTTGGATAGTGGCCTTTCTGACTGGTGTGAGGTGATTACCTCATTGTAGTTTTGATTTGCATTTCCTTGATAATTAGCCATGTGGAGCATCATTTCATATGCCTGTTGGCCATCTGTAGTTCTTCCTTGGAAAAATGTCTGTTCAGATCTTCCACCCATTTTTTAATTGGGTTACCTTTTTTTTGGTGTTAAGTCATATGAGTTATTCATATATTTTGGATGTTAACCCATTATTGGATAAATCATTTATGAATATATTCTCCCATACTGTAGGATGCCTTTCATTCTGCTGATGGTGTCCTTTGCTGCACAGACAAACTAAAAACTTTGCTTTTTAGTTTGATGTAGTCTCACTTGTTCATTTTTTATTTTGTTTTCCTTGTCTGGAGAGATGTGTCCAGAAAAAAATTGCTCATGCCTATGTTAAAGAGATTTTTGCCTGTTTTCTCCTAAGGGTTTTATGGTTTCATGTCTTACATTTAGGTCTTTAATCCATTTCAAGTTTATTTTTATATATGGAATTAGACAGTAATCCAGTTTTATTCTCTTGCATGTAGCTGCTTAATTTGCCCAACACCAGCTGTTTAAGAGACTGTCTTTTTCCTACTGTATATTCATGGCTCATTTATCATATATTAATTAACCATATATGTGTGGGTTTATATCTAGGCTCTCAGTTCCATTGTTCCATGGGTCTGTTCTTTCACTGTTAGCAAAGTCTTTTAATTACTGTAGCTTTGTAATTTAACTTCAAGTCAGGGAGCATAATACCACCAGCTTTGTTCTTCTTTCTCAGGATTACTTTGGCTATTCAGGGTCTTTTGTGATTCCATATGAATTTTAGAATTATTTGCTCTAGTTCATTGAAAAATGCTGATGGTATTTTGGTAGGGATTGCATTGAATTTGTAATTTGCTTTGGGCAGGATGACCATTTTGATAATATTAATTCTTCCCTATCCATGAGCATGGGATATATTTTCATTTATTTGTGCTTCTTTAATTTCTCTCATGAGTGTCTTACAGTTTTCAGAGTAGAGGTCTTTCACCTCTTTGGTTGGGTTTATTCCTCGGTATTTTATTCTTTTTGATGCCATTTTAAATGGAATTGTTTTCCTGATTTCTCTTTCTGCTAGTTCCTTGTTACTGTATAGGAATGCAACAGATCAGAACCCATGGTCTTAACCACTGTATTGAGTGTCTGTCATTTAGTTTTTATTATTTTATGTTGGGTTGATTCTTGGAAAGGATAATAATTTTGGGGCTCTAGTATATTCTACCTAAGATGAAATTTTAGGCCAACAGTGGAAATGCCATTGTGGTAGAACGAACTCATCTGGGATATGCTTAGCATTAAATGTCACAGTAAATAAAACTGAAATCTTTGATTTTTAAGCCGTGCATTTCATCCTGTTTTGTTTCAATATGTAGTGCTAAAGATTAAATCATTTTCCTTTTTCTCCTCCATTGTGTACATGGATAAATAAGAAAATATACTTACTAAATACTTAAATTCATATGTCTTCAGCAGATTAACCCAAATTTATAGGATCTTAGGACCTCTTGCGAGGTTGCAGTCATTGGTTTGGAATTAAAGATGCTTTTATTCAGTTCTTTGACCAAAGGTTGCATTTCTAAACTCAGCTAGCTAATTTCAAACTTTAAACTGGCTCTAAAGGAAGGTCAGTGAAAATTGTTTTCCACTAGAAAAATAAAATAGGTACAGTCCTTACAATGGTTCACTGAGGTCAGCCATTTAATTTGAAGAGTGAATTACATGAAGCAAAGCAAACATTAAATATTCTCAGTTTATATTAAAAACTACTTGGTATATCTCAGTTGAACATCATTTTAAAATAATATTGTATTTTAGAAATAGGTTTAATGAAACCTTTTAATATTTCTATTCACTGTGGTATTTATTATTTTCTATAGCACATGCCAAAATTTAATTCAATTTCAATTAGTGGTTACCATATGCAAGAGGCAGGGGCTGATGCCATTCTGGAACTCGCCTATACTATAGCAGATGGACTGGAGTATTGTAGAACTGGACTCCAAGCAGGCCTGACAATTGATGAGTTTGCACCAAGGTGAGAAAATTAACTCATATACTATCTCAACATTAAGAAAATTCGAAGGACCATTTTGTGAGTGTATAGCAACATATCTCGTTACAATGAATTTGTATGTGTAAATATATAGGTTCTCATGTTTTATCTGAGTGGTAATGAGATAACAAGCCAATACTATTTATAATTCAAAATCTGAAATAAATTTCTACTTTTTGTTAAATTAGAGGAATCTTGTCTCCAGCTATTCAGAAAACACAATATACACATTTTGATAATTAATATTAAAATGTAAACATGATGTCTGAGACAGATTTGCTTTTATTCTTTAAAGTTTTTCTATTTAAACAGAAGTCATCTATCATTTTTCTTTCATTACACTTACGTAATATAAATTCTTTAAAATGCACAGTGCTATTAAAAACATTTCAGTTTCAAAACAGCCTGTTAATAAAGTTCTATGAAAAATGTTGAAAAAATTAAGTTTACAAGGAATTTAAAATTGGTGAGCACGTCAGAAATCATTCAGATGAGCAATGAATTGCTAAACTTTGTTGTGATTCAAGCACTAGTTTGTATGCTGGGAATACAACATGTGAAAAATACAGCTTCTACCCTCGGGGAGTTTATAGACTATAGTGAATATAGTTTATAATGAATGCTCCTTTACAGTAGGGACTGTTGCATATTTACTGTGATAGGGTTCTCAGAGTGTGGTCCAAGGACTTCTGGGGTGGCTAAAACCCTTCCTGAGGTCTTCAAGGTCAAAACTGTTTGCATGGTTATATTAGGACTTTGTCTTTTTCACTTTCAGTCTTTCAAGAGTGTACAGTAGTGTTGTCCAGAGGGACAGTGATATGTGATGTTGCAACAGATTGAATGCAGAAGCAGATACAATACTGCAGCTCTCTTCCCTTAAGCCACACATTAAAGAGACTTGTAAAAATATAAAACAATGATTATTACATTTTTTTTGCTTCAGTAAAGTGATTTTTAATAAAAATGTTAGTATGTTAACATGTTTTAAGTTTATTGTTATTTCTAAATGAATTAATATATAAAATATTGATAGATATTATCCAAATGAAGTATCATTCCATGGATCTTTAGTAATTTTTAAGAGTGAAAAAAGATCCTGAGACAAATATTTGAGAACTGCTATGTTAAAAACCTCTTCCAAGTGTGTATTGAGAATTTTTATTAGGTTTTAGTTTCCTTCAAGTTCACCTTGTTTCATATAATGAAACACAACCTTTATGCCTTTAGATGTAGAAAAGTTAATAAATGTATAAATCAGCTATCGGATATAGATAAGAGGTAGTAGTGGGGTTGGGGAAAATTGGATAAATACATGCCTAGGGCAAATACACAGTCATCCTTTAGAAGAAAAATTCCTTCCCAAAGAAAACAAGTTTGGTTTTTCACTCCCTTTGTAGGCTATCCCTGCCTTATATACTGGGTATTCTTGAAATATTTTATTTCTAGAAAATGATTCATTATTTAATTAAGGACACAAGGGGAACTTCTTTCCTATAGAAAACCAGTTGTAAAATTTATAATTCTTACCTGAAACAAATAATCACAGCCATTTCTTCTGTATGCATACAACTGTACTTTTACATGTTAGATTTAAAGTTATTTAAGTATATATGCTTGACTTTAATTCAAATTAACTTGTTTGAGATTAAAATCTGGAGAATGGTTTTCTTTTTTAGTGTGTGATATAATTGGTTTTATTTTCCATTATGTTGTGAAGTATAATCAAATTCTGGATTTAACATTACTATCATTACTATTTTAGGTTGTCTTTCTTCTGGGGAATTGGGATGAACTTCTATATGGAAATTGCAAAAATGAGAGCTGGGAGAAAACTCTGGTCTCACTTAATAGAGAAAATGTTTAAGCCTAAAAACTCTAAATCTCTTCTTCTGAGAGCACATTGTCAGACATCAGGATGGTCACTTACTGAGCAGGTATGCATGTAATTTAAAGTGTAGAATTTCAGTAAAGTCATATATTTTCTTCTAAGCAATGTGTCACAGTCATAAAATAGATTAAGAATCTATACACTAATATTTAAAAATCATAATTATTCTGAAGCCCAATGAACATTTGTTTTCACTTGTATTATAAGTGCCTCTCTCTAGTGGTTAAAAAATATAATCATTTAAATCTTAGCTTACATGTGATGCTGTTTTCTACTTTTTTAAAACAAAAAAATGATGATGAGGAAGAAGTGAAAATAATTAGTTAATATTGTCAAAAATAATTTTAAGAGTTAAAATTCTTAACATAAAACTTAGTTAAAAGTTGACTTTATACATATATATTATTTATTTTAGTTATGTGTTTTAAAAAGCATGCATGCAATCAGGCCATTTGAAGATAATTATCACTCGAGTAATTTTATTTCACTCTCTTAGAAAATTCTGTGGTGATGATCTTTTTTTACATGTATTTTCTTTACATATTAAATTATTTTGATACATTAAAAATAATTTAAAACTTTCATGTTATATTACTTTTATACATTTAAAAGCAAATAAAAACTAATAAATTCCATATTAAATATAACTTCAGGTCCTTATAAATGGAGAAATATAGATTTCAGGGTTGAAAGGTACCATAATAATTGTTTTTGTCTTAATCTTCTCACTTTTATATCTAAGGAAACTGAAGTTCAAAAAGGTCCAATGACTTGCTCAAAGCACAATTAAGGAGCAGAATGAATTAGAATCCAGATGTCCTATCTCATAGTCCATTGTTCATCTGTTTTATTAATCTTTTATTAATAAATCATTGAGTGCTCGGTACCTCATTATGGTGGATACTTCAAGGTGTACAAAATAATTAGGAGATAGTGAGTTATGAGATGAAGGATATTAATAATCTAAGTAGAGAAAGTGTACATTCTTGATGCATTTATAGAAGAACATTTAGGCAATACAAAAGCAAGCACAACAAGTATTTGATATTTTGGACAATTACAAGGGAACTGTTGTAGTGTCTAAGCAGACTAGGCACTCTGGCTCTTAATTCTAAGTCTAACTCATTTACTGATTTGTCTAAATTTATTTTCTTTTGAAGCCTAACATAGACATTGGCAAAGAAAGTATGCAGCAGTCACTGCTTATTCATATCATCTTTTACAGCTACAATATACATCAACTCTTGCTTTGTTTTGTTGTTTTTCTTTTCACTGAATATTTTAGGATCCTTACAATAACATTATTCGTACCACAGTGGAAGCAATGGCAGCAGTGTTTGGAGGGACTCAGTCTTTGCACACAAATTCTTTTGATGAAGCCTTGGGTTTGCCAACGGTGAAAAGTGCTCGAATTGCCAGGAACACACAAATCATCATTCAGGAAGAATCTGGGATTCCCAAAGTGGCTGATCCTTGGGGAGGTTCATATATGATGGAATCACTTACAAATGATGTTTGTGATGCTGCCTTGAAGGTCAGTTTCTCCACTTTGAAACTTTGTTTTCAGGATTTATAGTTGTTTTGGTTTATAAAACAAATCATTTATAAATTTATATAAGGATTTATAAAATGTGCAAAAGAAAAGGGAATTTTAGATTTGACTTTATAGTATTCAAAACTGAAGCAATTTTAAGAACACATTTGTATTTGTATGAAAGTATTTTATTCAAAGAGTTAAAAAGACAACTAGTGTTAAAAGGCCATAAGAAAAAAAGCAGTTCTTTGTCCTCCACCTTCTTTTTTTCCTACTTCCCTAAGTTAGCTACATCTTTTGTTTTTGTTTTTAACTCTGTATTTTAAAATTATATAATGTTCAAATTCCATCAATTTTAGACATCATCTATTGCTTGCTAGTGTGGTAATTTAGTATTTTAGCCGATACCAATTCTTTCCCTTCTTCCATACTACCAATCTAAGTGTATCTCAATATAAAGCCTTCCTGAAGTCCTCTAAGGTTTTCTTTTGATTTAAACTGGTTTCTCTCTAGACCTGCTGCCCTTTGCTGCCCTTTGACTTCCTGCCATGATACTGGAATTCTTTTCTCCTGTGCTATATTGAATCTGTATCCCAAATCCTGTGTCTGTTTCTTTGTTTGTTTATCCATTGTTATGTTGAAGCACATCTGATAGGAACCTCCTAAAAGTGGTACATGAAAGATGAATTATTTGAAATTTTTAACATTAGAAAACATCTTTGTTTTATTCTCATGTTTGATTGATAGTCTGACTGGGTTTGAATTATACTGGAAGTTTGTAAGTATATTTGTAAGCACTGATCTTCTATTCTAGTTTCCGATACTTCTGTTCAGAAATCTGATTCCATTCTCACTCAGGATCCTTCTTTTGAAATTTTCATGATGTCTTCTTTATTTCTGTGTTGATGCACTTTCTTGTGTGTATTTTTTCCTACATTGTACTGAAGCTTTGCTGGTCGTATTTCATCTGGCCTATTTTTCATGTTCTCAGAGCTGTGGAAAATTGTCTTGTATTATTTCTTTGATATTTTTCTTCCTGCCATTTTTCTGTGGTTTCTCTTTATAGAACTCCTAGTTATTGGGGAAGGATCTCCTTAAATGATACTCTGATATTCTTATTTGTTCTATATTGCATCTTTGAGTTTTTGTTCTGTATTCTTGACTCACACTTTATCATTCTACTTAAATACTTTAAAATTCACATACCATATTTTTCATGTCCAGAAGCTCATTTTTGCTTTCTAATTTTCCTCCTTGTATGTCATACTACTTGTTTCATTAATAGAGAATCTCTTCTTGTTTTCCTGAAGGTAGTCATTATATTTTTCAAAATTTTCTTCTCTATCCTATGTTTGTTTCCTTTGTATGCCATTTGTCTTTAGTCTTTCATTCAGAATGCAGTTCTTTTTATTTCAGCAAGACATCTTACCCTTGCCTCTCTCTCCTTGGTGCTTGATAGTCCATTGCTTCTCTAGTTCATTTTCTGCAGACAGTAAACTGGTTCTGATGACAGAATTGGAATCTCAAGTCATTCCCCTTTTTTAACTCCCTGTCTTACCCTTGGCTGCTATTGAACCTAATACAGATTTTTCTTCTTTAAATTCTTCAGGGGAAAACTGGTTTGACCTTGTTCCTTTCTGCTAGGTCAGTTACCATTCTACTAACCATTTTCCACCATCTCATGTATATATGAGGCTGTGATTGAAAGTTTACATGTTTCTTTGTATCACTAAAGATGGCATTGTATCATTACTCTGCTGTTCAAATAGAATATAAAATTGCATTTAGAAATATATTTTTTAAATAGTCTTTATTTATATATGTATGTAACCACAAAACATTTATTTATGTGACTAAAAATAAAGATTAGAGAATTGATGTTATCTTTAGTTTTCCACCAAGACCTGAATGGGAAGTTTTGTGTTTTCCAGAATATACTTGTTAGTTTTCCTGTTGTCTTTTCAAGTCACTTTAAAAACAGAATTTCTTTCTTTTTTTATTGAGAAAGGACTTACATATAACATTGTATTTGTTTAAGGTATACAAAATGATAATTTCATATATATATATATTGCAGAATGATTTCCAGAATAAGTTTAATGTCCATTAACAAACTTAGTTAATATTATTTTTCTTATGATGAAAACTTTTAAGATCTACTCTCTTAGCAACTCTGAAATATACAATATAGTATTTTTAACTCTGCAGAACTTCTCATTCATGCTTTTGATGTTAACTTAATTATTTTTTATGAAACATTAAGTTTATCACTAAAATAGTTATAAATTTGTTAATATGGGCAGTTATGTAATATAACACCTTTATATAGTTTACAAAAATATTCATATTCTCTTCTAGTCTTATTAATCTTTCTTTCTTATTAGCTCATTAATGAAATTGAAGAGATGGGTGGAATGGCCAAAGCTGTAGCAGAGGGAATACCTAAACTTCAAATTGAACAATGTGCTGCCCGAAAACAAGCTAGAATAGACTCTGGTAAGATAAAGTGGAAAAGTTTATATGTGAAATCCAGTGTTGAAAAGTAAATACTAATTTCTGTTTGGAGATTACATATATGTTTAATAAAAGAAAAGTGATAGAACAGTGAAACTTGGGTAAAATGTTTCTTATCTATATCTAATTATCTAACTTTTATTTTTATATACATGTATGCATATGAGCAATCATATGTAAAAAGTAGGTGTGACAGTGTACCCATTGTGTGTATATACATGTGTGTGAGTGGATCTCTACAGTATTTTGAAGATGGCATTATTATTGGTCATTGTGCTCTACATTGGAGTATTCATTCATTCATTTGTTCAGTCAGTCAATAGTTCTTCACTTGTTAGTATTTGAAACACTACTGTGTGGGCATACAGTTGTGAACAGAGAAACATAGTCTCTGTGCCTGTAGAGCTTACATTTCAGCAAGAGAGAAAATGAAAATGTGAAGAAATAATAATTACAAATTGAGGTATGTTTTATGAAGGAAATAAGAAGGGATATAACTTGAGGTAGGGGTGGCAGGATGTTTTAGAATAATAAAGTAGTAGCTTGAGGTAAAGTATATTCTTTATCATTTTAAGGAAGTGTCTTTGTAATTCTGGTTTATTGCTTATAGATTTTAAAGGTATTTTTTGTTAAAAGTGATTGGCTATAAGAATTCAAGAAAATATTAGAAAGCTATTGGATGTTAATCCTCTATCTTATAAATCTTAAATGGTAGCTGCTATTACTGTATTAATTTTGTAGTATCAGAAGAGGGTTTATCAGAAACTCTGGGAAAGCATGTAGTTTGAGAAAATAATAAAAAGTCCTCCCTTACAGAGATTTTGATATATACCTGTTCTTTCTTTTCCGATTCCTATCACATATTGGGATTTTATAATCTATATTGAAGGTTCATTAAGAGTTAAGAACACTCTTAAAAATATTAAACTTATAAGGAAAATACGTGAAGATCAGAGAATTACTATTAGGCAATTATTTGTGAATAGAATCTACATGTTATTTTCCTCTGGGAAATTAACAGGTTCTGAGGTAATTGTTGGAGTAAATAAGTACCAGTTGGAAAAAGAAGAATCTGTGGATGTTCTCGCGATTGACAATACTTCAGTGCGTAACAAGCAGATTGAAAAACTTAAGAAGGTAATAATAGCTATCATGTTTTGAGTGTTTTCTGTGTTCTGGGCACTGTCTAAGCCCTTATATTGTCTTGCTTAATCCCCAAAACAACAGTCTGAGGTGGGTATTATTTCCCAACATTTTAAAGATAAGGAAACTGAAGATAAGGGAGATTGAGAAACTTGACTGGGATAAATAATTGCTCACTCAAGACTGATAATCTAAGTGTATTGATACCAAACACTCATGTTTTAAATCATGATACCTGCTTCTGTGAAACTGATATGGAGTTATTAAAAAAACACACCATAATAGTAATAATAATACTTCAGATTAGAACTAAGGTTTAGATTATTATGTAACTCACTCAAAGTTAAAACAATATTAAATTTAGAATCGGTAATTGAACCCAGAGCTTCTCACTGTAATTTATTTCCAGTAGACCATGTTTTCTGATACTACTATGAAATAATCATTTGCTTTCTGTTTTGTATTTGTTTTTTTAATTAAAATACATTTTAATAGTGCTTTAGTATGACATAGTTTATAATGAAATGTATTTATTTTGATTGAAACTAGAGTACTGTCTTAACTTTTTATTTCCAGTTTTGCACTGAGATGATCCAAAGTTTATGAAATGCTGAAACAGATAAAACACATAATTCTTTTGTGTTTGTCTCCATTGTATGAAGCTACCTTGGTCTCTTAATCCCTGGCTTTTGTAATCATTGCTCTTTCTAAGGCAGGAAACTTAAAATTCTTTATTGGTTTTTCTCTGTTTACTTTCCCTGTGATGGTTTAAGATACAACTTTTTTCCCCTCAATTCACATATTCTTTAAGAATCTAATAGACTTTGTCCAGTTAGACCAAATGTGTGACTATTATTTTTTTCTAGTAGAATTAATAGCAGATGTTTAATATTATTTCCTTTTTCATCCTTAATCAGGAGATAATGACTTTCCTCTTACATTTTTGTCATTTTTTAAAAAGGCCCTATTTAGGATATAGCATTTTATTTCCCAGTGATCACAAAAGTTTCAATATTTATTATATTTGAAAAACCCCTTTTCTTCTATCTTATATTTTAGACTTTTATTAACTCTAGGTCCTAACAGCTTGAAGAATTACATCTACCCTTAATGATGGTAAACCTTATTTTGATCAAGAGAGAGAAATCAAATATTGTAATGATAATGGAGTTGTGTTTTTCTTTATCCTTAATTTAAATTTTCTAGTCCATCTCTGCTTATAGATGCTACTTGATTTTAGTGGCATTTAGAGGAGTATAATATTTTAGACTTTTCTACAGGTAGTGAAACTTGTAAAAGAAGTTGGATTTTAGGTAACTTTGTTTATTTAGGCAGGTTTTTGGCAGAGCAGAGTATAACTAGGACCTGAGGGAAAAGTTTTTAACTGTGCTTTTTACTGTCTTTATCTCTCTACTGCAGTATTTCTCATTGTCTCTGTCTCTCTCTTTCCCAGTATTATTATTATTTTTTTTATTATTTTCAGTTAAGGAATAGGCTTTAGTAGGGAAAGGGAAGACTTATTAGGCCATCTACTGGTATTATTTTTAAATAGAAAGCATAACAATATACATACATATTATTACCAATATGTTGTTAATTAGCTAAGGGAAACTTAAAGTTGTAATCTTTTTTTTCTTCCTTCTCACTGTTAATCTTTAGCATATCTTTGAAATTCCTCATATAAGAGATCCACTTGTTTTCAATGTCTGGGTATATTATAAAATCCTAAATACAGATACTGCTGGAAGGGTCAGCACTGTTACTTATTATTGCCCCACTTCTTTCTGATTTATCAGGGTTATACGGAATTTAATTATTTTAGGACATCCATAAATGTTTATTGAATGAATAAATTGAATATCAGCCCTGGGATACCTATTAATTACTCTCTCTCTTTTTTTCTTTTGTATTTGAGGTTAGGATTATGTAACAATTTCCATATGACGTAGATAGAGTCTAATTTGTGATCTCTGTTTTAGTCTCTGTTCAAGTAAATTGTCTCTTTCCTTGACCTTTTCCATAAGGTTAAATCCAGCAGGGATCAAGCTGTGGCTGCAAGGTGTCTCTCTGCCCTGACTGAGTGTGCTGCCAGTGGTGATGGGAATATTCTGGCTCTTGCAGTGGATGCAGCTCGTGCAAGGTGAGGATATGTAAATTTGGAGATTTCCAAATACTAGGAGTTGACCAGTTTAGCTTTCCAGGGTATACTTAAATCAAAGCTTGATCCTGTGCACCATGTGAGCCTTAAATAAAATAAAGGAAACCAAAATAAAGTTAATTTTGTTTTTCTTAAACACCTGTGCATTTAAAACATTTATGTATTTTGAATGGAGTGTATTAATACCAGTGTATTTCCCTATAGCTCAGGACATTTGATGTTATTGTAATGAGTCCATGTCACTGATTTGCAGGTTGACTTTCAAGTATAGGGAGTCATTATTATTAGATAGTAAGCAAACTGCCCTTTGTCCAGAGGTAGACAATGTCTGTTCTTCCGAGGCTATTCACTGTATAGACATCTTTGAAAAGATAGTCCAGAATAAAAGGCAAGCAGTGCTTTCCCTCACAGGATGTGCAGAAAAGCGAGTGATCCACAGAAACTTTTCTCTAATATGTGATAGTCACTAAAAAAATTATTTTTGCTTTTCTAATTTTTTGTTTAATATAATGAACTTTTTTAAAACATGTTTTAAGTGTTTAAGAGGTAGAGCAAATAGTATGTGGGTTGGTTTATTTTTCAGTTTCAATTTCTTAAATAAAATGATTTATTTTTCAGTTTTAATTTCTTAAAAGAAATAAAATAATTTCTCTGCTTAAAATCATAAGGTATCCCATTCCTTTTAAATTAACACTTGATCTTACCATGGCCTGCAAGAATGTGCTAGATGTGACTCTTGCCTTCCTCTCTGACCTCATCTTACCCTACTTCCTTAATTATGCTGTGTCCCCAATGTCCTTCTTTCTATTTTTTGAAAAAAAAACATATTTTCCTACCTCTCAGGGTCTTTGCAGTTAGTGTTTTATTTTTCAAATACTCTTTTCTTTATGTTCCCTTTAGTTTCTCATTCTCATCATTTTAGTCATAGTTTAAAAGTTCTATCTTTGTGTCTTTATTATCTTTAAAATGGCTTTCCCAGATATCCAATTCCATTTTGCTTATTTAAGTGTCTTTGCAATACTTACTACCACATGAAATTATCTAATTGTTTGTTTGTATATCATCTGTATCCGTTAACTAGATGATAAGTTCTTTAAGAGCGGGTACTTTTTTCAGTCTTATTATCACTGTATCTCTACCACTTATCACTGCTTGGCCCATATTATTAGGCACCAATACATGTTGAATTAATTAATAAACAAGTAGATGGAATGTGCTGAAATATTTGCTTTTTATCAAAAAACATACATGGGAATCTTGCTCTTTTCCCATTCATATTAAGTGTTGAATTATTCTTCAAACTTTAGATACTTGTCTATTTGTAGTTTTTGGTCATTCAGTCATTATTTTGTTTGACAAATGTTGAAAATATTACTATGTATAAAGGCATTCAGAATTATTTTCTCAGCATTCTGAGACAGATGTTTTCATGAGTGCTGTAAAAAGCATTCTTAGATTTTCAAGAGCCTCTTTTTAGATAATAAAATGTCTAATTATATTGAATATTAAAGTAAGTATTTTTTATTCAAATAATGATGTTAACAGAACCTTCATTTAATATTTTAGATGTACAGTTGGAGAAATCACAGATGCCATGAAAAAGATATTTGGTGAACATAAAGCTAGTGATCGTATGGTGAGTGGAGCCTATCGCCAGGAATTTGGAGAAAGTAAAGAGATATCATTTGCTATCAAGAGGTAATAAGTGAGATTTCTTAAACCAGAATGTCATCATTTCTGTTAACACATCCCTATGAATCTACTGGAGGCTTAATTTTCTCACATACCACTTAGAAAATATTTGAATTGACTTTTCTGTTAGTGTGTAGTTTTATGAAAATAGTATTTTGAACTTTCATCATAGTCCCATTTAGGGATTTCTCATATCAAACAAGTGTTTGTTTAACTAACATTGATATTGCTTCATATCCTCCAGGTACTTAGATTTCAGTCTCCTTACTATGGTACACCTTCGTATTTTTTAAATTTATTTACATTGTTTAATTGCTCACGTATTATACAATCTTAATTTTCCTATTTGAAAGTAAATATTTGGTTGCCATGCATAAATTGAAATCAGCCATCACTGAACTGATGGTAAATAACACTGTCAAGCATGATTTGAAAATAGAGATTTATATAAAGTGATCATGCCTCTCGTATAAAAAGTAGTTTCCTGATGCTTGTTTTTCTCAGTCTTTGTAATAAATTTCCTACTAACAATTTTATGTCACTACTTGTGTATGAGATAAATATCAAAACAGCCAAGGCTAAAGTTGAAATGTGACATGGTTTCCTTTAAAGAAAAATAAATGTAGTGCTTTCTCCTGTGTAGTGTTAATTTGTTGATTTAAGCAAGCATTTTGATGAGACATCATTATAAGACACCACACGGCCATCAGCTTGGGGGAGTTCACACTTGTGAAGGGTAGGTGAGATATGGACAGTTCAACGCAGCTAGTGAGTCATATATTGTATATATAAATAATGCTGAAAGGCACATTTTAGGTTACTTCAAAATATTCCTGTGTATTGTACTCTGGAGACTGGCTTGAAAAGTGAAAAGTTGTCATTTTCTCATCTTGTTTCATTGTGATGTTCTCAGTGTTATGGGGTTACAGGCTGTGCCATATTTCAAACTTTCCTCTAAGGGGGATGGTAACATACTCAGGCTTTAATGCAGTTCTCAAGGTAAAATGGAGATATTAACAAAATACAAGTAAACAGATCAGGTGTTTTTAAATAAACAAGAGATTTGATGCAAGTAAAGTATAGTTTTTACATCTAGCTTTTGCACAATTAATATGTAACTTTTGTATTTTGAAATGCTCTTAGGGTTAATAAATTCATGGAACATGAAGGTCGTAGACCTCGCCTTCTTGTGGCAAAAATGGGACAAGATGGACATGATAGAGGAGCAAAAGTTATTGCTACAGGATTTGCTGATCTTGGTTTTGATGTGGACATAGGTCCTCTTTTTCAGGTACTGAAAATTGTTGGGGATTTCAAAAAGTATGTCATAAATCACTTACATGTAGAAAAAAATAGTGTGAAGATGATAAATCAAGATGATCTTTGTAAAGCTGTAAAAGAAGAACATGAATTTAACAAATTCCCTAATTTATTTTTAATGCATATAATCCGATTAGCTACATGGAAATAAGAATAAAATATAAATCATGTTTATGTACTTGTTACTCAGACTTTGTAAAAATCAATGTCTTTTTGGAACTAAAATTTTATTAGGCTTCTGAAACTAAGAAGATTACTTTCAAAGACCTCATGGTACTATTTTTTGGGATTTCACTAATATTTTGTCAAGATAGCACACCAGGTTGGTGAGGAAAGTGTTTTAAAAGGGAAATCAAGCATAGAGTAAGCTTAAGTCATAATTAGATTTTCTTTTTTCTCTACTCCAGTAGAATTTGATTTAATCACTGAATATTAGTTGTTGCAAGCAAATAATTTGTTGGAAGTATACCAAGCTGAAATTCTCTATAGAGTGATAAAACATTAATCATTCACTATAAAAAAAATCTTTGGCTGAGGAATACATTGTAATAACTTTTATGTTAAAAGCTTTATCCACTACATATTTATTGAGTATCTACCAGATAGCTAGGTTCTGAGTTGAATAAGATACGATTTTGTCTTCAGGGAGGTTACAGGCTCCTAAGAGAGAGATTGACTTAAACAGTAACCACACCAGAGTAATAATAATTACTGTAATTAAAGTTTGGACAAGGAACTTGCTCAGGTATCCTAGGAACTTCGGTTCGAGCTGCTCCTTTCAGGAGCTTAGAGAACCAGGTGGGGAAGGGCATGCTGAGAAGGTTGGTTTGAGTGGAAGTGCAGAGCTGTGAGAGGGTATGATGCCTTCAGGTAACTCCAAGACGTTCAGAAAGATTAGGATACAGTGCTTGGATAGGTGTGTACATTGTGATGAGTGGCCTTATATGCCATTCTGAGGAGTTTGAACTTTATCACAAAGGTGTTTGGGTAAAGTGGCACAATAAAAATTCACTTTCAAAAGCTCACTTTCTAGTAAGACAACTTTCTGAAGCATCTAGATGCAAGGAGTCCAGTTAGAATATTCAGTAATCTGAATGAGAAACAATGAAGACCTTAACTGAGGCAGTGTCAGGGTCTTAGCAGAAATAAAAAGTCAGCTAGGATTTTGAAGAAAATTTAATGAAGGGGCTGCTTACAGATATCAGGCAGGTTTAAGAGAACCAGCTTGTGGAATATTCAGATAAATATATGGAACATTCATGTTAAGTTGGATATACATGTATGAAGCATAGAAGAGAGGTCTCAATTATAGACAATAATTTGAGACTTACTAATATATAAATGGTACTTAAAACCATGAAAATGGATGTAATTTTCCATAAAGATGAGATACAGCAAGATGAGAAGAGAACTTGAACTTTAAAAGGAATAGAGGAGAAGGAAGCAGCAAAGGAGTGAGAGGACGTGGGATGAGTAGTGGGATAAAAACTAAGGAAGAAGAGTTTCAAGGAGAAGGAGGCTCTGTGACTACACACCACATGTCGGTCAGCTTGGACCAAGTCTGACAAATAATCATTCCATGTTCGCTAGCAAAGAAGTAAACCTTCCTGAAGAGGCCCAACCTTTGTAGAATGTCCAATAAGAGTTTCTCATTTAAAATGTTTAAATATTACTCTAGAAAGCCTGGAAGAAATTGTTACTATAAAGAATTAGTCTGAACTTGTGGAATAGAACCTTGAACTGTGTCAGTAGGTAAATTCATAAATGTTTTTAGAGTCTTATGCATTTAAGGTAGGTTTTGTTAAGAATCTCAAATAAATAAGTAAATGAATATTTATACATATATATATTATTTTTAATATTTTATGTTATTTTTATATATTTATATGTATATATTTAGATTGATTTCATTCTTCCTATAAGTTAACTACTTTCCTATTCTATTTTTTTACTTATGTTCTACTACCCTTTTACTTTAGTTTTTTGTTTGGTTGTTTTAAATCATGAATAAATATATTTTCAATATTTAGTAGTTAGCTTTTAGAAAATATTTTTCATAAAATAAAAGTAATTAAAAAAATTATTAGCCATTGTCACCTAAAAGAATTTCTCAAAAATTATTAGTCATTGTCACCTAAAAGAATTTCTCAAAGAACTGAAAGTTCATTTCTCCATTATATCCCATCTATAAGAGTATAATTTGCCTTTTAGTACCACCAACTTTGCTAATATAATATAAAAAAGTTTATCTGTGTCTGAAGGTACAATCCTGCAGTTCTCTGATGACTGAGTTAATCAAAATGAGATCTGAAGTTTTGAAATTTTCAAACATTTGATAATGTCAAATACATTTTATGCAAGTATAAAGCTTGAACTGAATTAAGTGGAAATTTAATAAATTTTGGTGACATTATATCAATGACAAATCATGCTTAATTAAATTTCATAAGCAATTTCTTTAAGAAATCAGTAGCAAAAATATGTACATTTTCTTTAAAGGTTTTAATTTCATGTGTTAATGTTTTTTCACAGACTCAATGTTTTACTTAATGTGCTATTATTTACCTAGAGATCCTCTTGAATATGTTTCCATTACTGAGTGTAGAATCTTTTGTTTCTACACTAAAATTGTGAGCCTTAAAATCTTGGTAAATTCAGAAAATATACAGATTTCGGTAATTTTTTGTGCTTGTAATTGTGCAGTGGTTTCTAATGTGGCCTTGTCTCCTCCGAATTTCTCAGTTTGCATTATAATTACAATGAGAAACTTATAGGCATTTTTATGTGAAGTGATTTAAATACATGTAAATTATCAAGGCATTGTCACAAATTCACTGTAGGCAGTGGAAAGGATCTTGGGTAACTCAGTTCATAATTGAATACTTAAAAATATCCTTTGGATTCTGTATCCCAAACTGGTTAAATCCAGTAAATAAATGAGAAACACACCCTCCTTGGCATTGTCTCTTGTTCATGCACTTGCCTGGGTGCTATATAGCTCCTTAATTGGTTTCTAGAGCGCTCACATTATTTTTTCCATATATTGCTGTTAATGTAGTATTTGTAGGAAAACAAGGTCCTGGGGCTTCTCACTCCTTCCTTGCTAACATTATTCTTGCCCATTCTATTTTAAAACCTAAGATTCACTTTTTCACATTGCATTTTATGTTTGGTCCTTTACTTCTTCATAGAAACAACGTCTTGCCATGTACTGCACAACCACTCAACCATTGATAATGAAGACAGTAGAATTTTTGTATTTTTAAAATATTATAATGAGAAATAATATATTTTGCCTTTATTCTTTATTTTTAAGATTCTTTTAGGGAACTACATTTTGGTGTAACTTAAATCTAATCAATAAATTCTAGAATCAAGTACAGCACTGGTCTTTATTATGTCCATCGGATGCGTTGGTATTTATCATTTGAAAATGATGAAATGCGGTTATATTTCACTTCAGGATTTTTAACAAGGAAAAATCTTGAAATGTAGATTAAGTAAATAACATTTTAAAGACATTTTTGGCATAAATGATGATTTGTCTCTGTTTTACAATCACTTAGACTCCCCGGGAAGTGGCCCAGCAGGCTGTAGATGCAGATGTGCATGCAGTGGGTGTAAGCACACTTGCCGCTGGTCATAAAACCCTGGTTCCTGAGCTCATCAAAGAACTTAACTCTCTGGGACGGCCAGACATTCTTGTCATGTGTGGAGGGGTGATACCACCACAGGTATTCTTCATCTCCTATATTGTTCTAGTATGATAATGGGAATCCTGAGTAATAATAGCTTTATATGTAGGTCTTTAATTTACTGCACACTTTACTAAAGATTAACTTACTGTAGACTTTGAGCCAAATTATTTATTGGTGATTTTACTAAATAAGTAAATTCTACAAAGTTTGAAAGTAGGCAGTGTTTTTTTCTACTTAAGCTATATTTTAATTCATTATGTGTAATTTAATAATTAACAAAGCATCTATGAGATAATTGCCTCCTTGCAAACTAGTAATCTAGATAAAGATCTACTTTCTTCATAGTCAATAAACAATGATGGAGAAGGAACAGGATATAAGTAATAAAATCTCACGACTGGAATAGAGATGAATTGTGAACACACAGTGTTTTTCATTCTATTTTAAAACCTAAGATTCACTTTTTCACATTGCATTTTATGTTTGGTCCTTTACTTCTTCATAGAAACAACGTCTTGCCATGTACTGCACAACCACTCAACCATTGATAATGAAGACAGTAGAATTTTTGTATTTTTAAAATATTATAATGAGAAATAATATATTTTGCCTTTATTCTTTATTTTTAAGATTCTTTTAGGGAACTACATTTTGGTGTAACTTAAATCTAATCAATAAATTCTAGAATCAAGTACAGCACTGGTCTTTATTATGTCCATCGGATGCGTTGGTATTTATCATTTGAAAATGATGAAATGCGGTTATATTTCACTTCAGGATTTTTAACAAGGAAAAATCTTGAAATGTAGATTAAGTAAATAACATTTTAAAGACATTTTTGGCATAAATGATGATTTGTCTCTGTTTTACAATCACTTAGACTCCCCGGGAAGTGGCCCAGCAGGCTGTAGATGCAGATGTGCATGCAGTGGGTGTAAGCACACTTGCCGCTGGTCATAAAACCCTGGTTCCTGAGCTCATCAAAGAACTTAACTCTCTGGGACGGCCAGACATTCTTGTCATGTGTGGAGGCGTGATACCACCACAGGTATTCTTCATCTCCTATATTGTTCTAGTATGATAATGGGAATCCTGAGTAATAATAGCTTTATATGTAGGTCTTTAATTTACTGCACACTTTACTAAAGATTAACTTACTGTAGACTTTGAGCCAAATTATTTATTGGTGATTTTACTAAATAAGTAAATTCTACAAAGTTTGAAAGTAGGCAGTGTTTTTTTCTACTTAAGCTATATTTTAATTCATTATGTGTAATTTAATAATTAACAAAGCATCTATGAGATAATTGCCTCCTTGCAAACTAGTAATCTAGATAAAGATCTACTTTCTTCATAGTCAATAAACAATGATGGAGAAGGAACAGGATATAAGTAATAAAATCTCACGACTGGAATAGAGATGAATTGTGAACACACAGTGTTTTGGTAAGCACTCCTGGTTTGCTATGAGTTCCTGTAGTTAGCTAATTGGCAGCACTTGGTTTTGTTATTATAGAGTAGCTATCCTGTCCACTTCTTCCATGTTCCCATCCCTAAACATTGACATAATTCAGAGCTTTATCAGTTACATGGTCCTGTAACACCTGTTTTATTAAAGCTAATTCAACTAGGGTATAGTTTTCTTAGAGCCAAAAATATCCTAGTTCAGACCTAAATGGAATCAGCCTATCTTGAAAATTATTGGCTAGATGGGGAAGAGGTAGATTCTTGAACAAAAATGTGGCTTCTCTTAGGAAAGGAGAAGTGGATGCTAGGTAATAATCAGTGATGTCAATTAACTTATTAGTAGGGTGGGGGGATACCTTCCACATATCACTTTGGTTCTGTTTCCAATCCAATGCAATTATATTAATTTTTTTTTAACTAAGAATGGAAAAAATATTTAGTTAGAAAAACTATATATGAGATTACTCTAAATGTATGATTCAGAGATGCTACAAAGGCACAGGAATCTATCTATAGATTTATAGTTTTTTTCCCTCCATTAAAACTCAAAATATCCAGTAGGGACTATTTATACACTACTTATGAAATGAAAATATATACACATATGAGCTTGTGAAATTGGTAATGATGTGGGTCTAGAAACAAACTATTATTTATTCTTTTCTAACATAATACTTAAGGTATAGAGTCAACACAAAATTGATTTTGTTGAAGTACTTGCCCATTATTTTCACAAGTATAATTTGTTCTTCATTGCTCTCTGTGGAACACTTCTATCTGTAGTGTAGTTTCAGAGTTTATACTAAGCTCCTCAACATGATATTAACATTTAGAACCAAAGTAATTATGTAGCACAAAATATTAGAATTGAAATATGAGTTGAGAAAAAACACAGCCTTGTTATATAAATGAGCTGACATTTTCAAGAAATATATTTCACACAAGGTATATTAACCCTCCATATATTTGAATTACCAAGAACATCTGTAGGTATTTTCCATAATTTTTCCCCATGAGATTAAAGACTAAGGATCATTTTCTATAACACACTGTGTGTTAATATGGATATCATTTATAATATAGCAGTCAACACCATTTTTTTCATTGATTGTTTGCAGTAAATACATGAAATGTTGCATTCAGAATCACTTAGCTTTTAAATTAGAAATCACTAATATGGTGACTAATCAAATAACTACTGCCATTGTGGAGCTTGTAGTTTCTGCAGCATGATTAAATAAATACGGTCTTTCCTCACCAGTATGTGTTTCTACGTTAGGATCTATAACCCTCCTAATAGGTTGGCTTCTAAGTATTTTAGGCAGGGTAAGCATCCTCATGATGCCTACTTCCATCATAAAGCAGGCACTGTGATATGTGTGGCCCAGATGTTCTTGGTAATTCAAATATCTGGAGGGCTAATATACCTTGTGTGAAATGTATTTCTTGAAAATGTCAACTCATTTAATTTTTTCTCAACTCATATTTTAATTCTAATATTTTGTGTTATGTAATTACTTTGGTTCTAAATATTATTAGTATCATTTTTTTGTAAATCATTTCAAACTAACAGGCAAGGTACACAATGAAAATAATGCCAAGGACACTTGTATACCCTTTACTCAGATTCACTTGTTCTAACATTTTATCTCCTTACTAAACTACATTTTGCAGGGCTTATGTAAGGCCTTAGGTAAGTCAAGGATCCTTTCTCCAGTTGCAGTATTTCATAGTCCTCTTCCAGATGAGTCCTCCATTCCAAATCCACAACTCTTATGAAGTCTTGAAATTTATAAGCACCTGCTTGAGAATAATGACATGTTTTGAATATCTTTATGTGTCAAGTGCTGAGGATATAAAGATGATTAGATATGATCTCTGCCCTTAAAGTGTACAGACTAGAAGGAGAAAAGTTCAATAAAATGTGTTAACTGCCATTGAAAAAGTATAGTATTATAAAATTATTACAAGGAAATGACAGAGACAACAAAGGAGTAGTTGGAAGATAATTATCATGACCATATGACTTGTTATCCAAATGTGATCATTTTTGAGAATAAAAATGGGTGCTATTAAAAAGTTACAAAGCCTAAATAGTCTCATTAAAAAATGGGCAGTGGACCTGAATAGACATTTTTCCAAAGAAGACATAGAAGACAAAGAATATGGCCAACTGTATATTTAAAGATGCTCAACATCACTAATTATCAGGGCAATGTGAATCAAAAATGCAATGAGACATCACCTCACATTAGAATGACTATAATAAAAAAAACAAGAAAGAATAAGTGTTGGTGAGGATGTGGAGAAAAGGGAACCCTTATGTACTGTTGGTGGGAATGTAAATTGATACAGCAAGTTTGGAAGACAATAAGGAGGTTCCTTAAAAAAATAAAACTACCATGTGATCCAGCAATTCTACTTCTGGGTATTTAACTCAAGAAAATGAAGACACTAACTTGAAAAGATATGTGCAACCCCATATTTATTGCATTACTTATAATAGCTAATACATGGAAATAACCTAAGTGTCCATTGATGCATGAGTGGACAAAGAAGATAGGAGATATATATATGCAATGGGATATTATTGAACCAAAAAAAGGAAGGAAATCATGCCGTTTGTGACAGCATGGATGGGACCGTGATGGCATTGTGCTAAGTGAAATAAGTCACACAGAAAAGACAAATACATCATCTCACTTACGTGTGGAAGAACAGATTGTTGGTTGCCAGAGGTGTGGGTAGAGGGTGGGTAAAATGAGTAAAAGGAGTCAAAAGGTACAAACCTTCAGTTATAAAATGAAGTCCTGGGATGGAATGTAATAGCATGGTGATTACAGTTAATAATATTGTATAATGTATTTGCAAGTTGGTAAGAGAATAAATCATTAAAGTTCTCATTACATGCACAAAATTTTATACTTACATATGGCTATGGATGTTAGCTGGACTTATGGTGATCACTTGCAACATATACAAACACTGAATCATTATGGTTTACATAATGTTATATACACAAGCAAATATAATGTTACATGCCAGTTATAGCTGAATTCAAAAGAGTCATGACCAAAAAAGTGCAACAGTAAAACCAACCAGAAAGCCCTGGAATGTATGATCACTCTAGTGGGTATGGATCAGGGCTTTAGAGCTTGTCCTAAACTTGATCTGTTGAAACAGCCGAAGCCTGGAGCAGTACTTGTGCCCTGCGATTCTTTTCACTCAAACTGTCCATTCAAAGTAAACCAACAAGCGGCAACAGTGACAGCAGAGTCTTTACAAACAAGCTGATCCCCTTTCACGGGAATCAGATTTCATGGAAGCCAAGTTCAGAGCACCGTCCACTACTGCAGACAGAATACCCCAGAGGAGATAAGTGACCTTGTAAAACCAAAGCTGTAGCGTGGTAATAAATTTAAGAAAAATAATGACAAGTAGTGACAATTTATGTGAGAGCAAGTTCTGGTTAAAGACTCTGAAGTTGTCAGTCAGCAGTCGTCACAGCTTCCTGCTACAAACAGCACCCTGGGGTGTTTGGAAAATGCTCAGTGTGTGTGTTATTTTAATGACCTGGAGTGTAGGGGGTCTGGTGCCTGTCAGCAGTCCCAGTTCAGGAAGGATTCTTCAGTCCTGATGCCAACAGTGTACCAGGTGAGAAAGTTTGGAGCACTGGGGACAAAGAAGAAAAGACAGAGTTCATATACCTTTGTTTCATTTCCTTGAAATTAGAAATACTGTCTCTTCTATTAATTAAACAAATTCTTTTAACAGGATTATGAATTTCTGTTTGAAGTTGGTGTTTCCAATGTATTTGGTCCTGGGACTCGAATTCCAAAGGCTGCCATTCAAGTGCTTGATGATATTGAGAAGTGTTTGGAAAAGAAGCAGCAATCTATGTAACATCCTGTTTTTGTTTTAGCTTTTTTCTTAAGTACTCTTCCAGTGATGATCAAAGAAGAGAGGGAAGCCATGTTTTCAATTTAATTCAACACCTGATACATGCTTTCTTGAAAGCTTTACATTAAAAATACCTGACTTAGAAGAATATTGGCATGATATAAGAATGTATGTGCAGTTTCACTTTAAAAGTTGAAAAGAAATTATCCTTAAAAACTCTATAACACATACTTTATCAGAAACTCTAGATAAAGGCATTTAAAAATTCATATTTATTTGAAGTATTTCTTATAAATCTATTTACTTTCTATTTAAAAAATTAAACTTTACCTAAAAAAAAGTCTGACTAGTCCCATTCTTCAATGTAGCATTATATTCACTTGACCACCAGAAAATGAAATCCATATATGAAAAAAATAATTAAAATATCTTGGAAAAAATAGTGAGAGTATATATGTTGTGATTGTAGTCCTCAGAATTACCTTAAGAAGAGTATTAAATCAGATCTGAAGGTTGTAATAGTAGAGAAATGGCCAAATATTACTTCAGGTCTGACTTTGCTTTCTTCTTGGGCATGAACATGTGGCCTTATTATTGCTGGGCTTGGCTTTAGCCCCAGGAGGGTGAATGTTTATGAATATTCCATAAATGAAAGTGCTTAAGTTGTCAATATGACTTCCTCCAAAATGATGATGGAAGCAGGGGGTATAGAAGGGCTATGGTGTATGTGTCTGCAAAAGCTAGTAATTCAATCTAGGTCTGAAGGCCTGAGGACCAGGGGAATCCATGGTGTAAATCCCAGTTCAGAGGTCAGAGAAGCTGATATGAGATGGCCCAGCTCAATTAGGGAGGCAGGAAAAATGGGGTGAGTTCCTCCTTCCTCTACCTTTTGTTCTACTCAGGCCCTCAACAGATTGTATGATGCCTGCCCACATTGCAAAGAGCAAGGTATTCTAAAAGTCCACTGATATAAAAGCTTATTTCATTCAGAAACATCCTAACAGACATACTCAGAAACAATATTTAATCTGGACATCCTGAGGCCAGTCAAGTTGACACAAAGTCACCTATCACAGAGCTCTTGCTGGTGGCAATGTATAATGATGCTTCTGTGGGGAAAATGATAATTCCTCAAAAAATTAAAACTATCAAGTGGCCCACCAATTCCGCTTCTGCGTATACATCCAAAAGCATTGAGAGTAGGGTCTCAGACAGGTATTTTACACCCATATTCATAGCACCATTATTCACAGTAGCCAAAGAGTAGAAGCAAATCAAATGCCCATCAACAAATGAATGAATTAACAAAATGTGGTATATACTTACAATACAATATTATTCAGCCTTAAAAAAGGAATTCTGACACATGCAGCAACATAGATGACCCTGGAAGACATGCTGTGAAATAAGCCAGTCAAAAAAGACAAATATTGTATGAGTCTATTCTTATGAAGTACCTAGAATAGTCAAATTCAGAGGCAGAAACAATGTTGTTTGCCAGGGCCTAGGGAGAGGAGGGAATGGGGAATTAATGTTTAAATGGGTTTCATCTGGAGAAGATGCTAAAGTTCCAGAAATAGATGGTGGTATAGTTGAGCAATCATGTGAATGTACTTAAAGCTGTGAAACTGTGCACTTAAAAATGGTTAATAAGGTGAAATTTATGTATGTCTTACCAGAATAAAAAAGTAGGACTGTCCTGACATTTGATAAATGTTTTATAACTTAGTTGTTAGCATTATTGTGTTACTATTATGAAAAGAATCAATGGTAAGGCAATGAAGCTGGAATGGTAGGTTGAGGCTAGATGATACATAGAGGCTTGTACAGTTAAGGCATTTGGACTTTATCCTGAAGATAAAAGCAGAATTATACTGTGATTCTAACTATGAGAATAATCTGTTAAGATTTGTTTTAGCACAGCAGCTAGTGGAAGATGCTTTTTAATGGGGCAAGACTGGGGATAAGAGTTGCTTACGTGTTGCTTAGAGATGGCCAAGACAGAGAATATGACCATATTTTGGAAGATAGAGTTGACAGAATCTAGCTTTTATCTTTTAAAACAAAGGGCTCTTGATCATTAGGTATTTTCTGTGTGAAATATGCTATGCCCCCTCATCTAGTTGGTTGTTCTTTTGTGGATCTTCTTTGATATGCAGTGATTTCATAATTAGATACATCATAGTGTCAACATCAGGAAAAGGTAAAATTGTGGAATTTGTTTTCCAGTGATCATTTTGTCAATTCTAGAGCTTGGAAGCTTTTCTGGCTCTGGAAGTATACTGGAATGATGTCTTTAGGGTACTCTGAAGACATCATAATGCTTTCCTTGCAACTTAATGGAAATATATATATTTTATGTATGTTTATATAAGTAGTGTAGAAAGTGGAGGAGAAGTTTAAAGAGGCATCCTTTCTGAGCAAAACCTACTACCTACTTGGAAATAGGAGAAATAAAAGTAAAGCAAAAGAAAGCAGGATGAATTTCTCCTTCCTCTGATTTCCATGTCCAGGAGTAGGAATTCATGGATGGAGAGCAGAGGCACGGGGATTGTTAAATATCTCTAGATCTGTCTATACAGACAAGGTTATGTATGCCATGTCACCACCACCCTCTACCAGTATCTTAAAATTCCTATCCATTTCATTCCTCTCAAATACCTTTTTTTAAAATAAAAAATGGATCTAATAAAATCATTTATGTTAAGATGTGTCAGGGAATACACGTTTATTTTACCAGAGGTAATTTTTATTTTAAATGAGGGGGAGAAAAACTTACCAAAGTGATGAATATCTAAATATACTTTTTGCTATTTAATAGAGACTCAGTAAAAAGGATGATTATGATGATAACTATGTTATTTCCACCAGTAGGTTAAATTTTGACTCATTTCCAAAGAATTATGAACCATCCTTTTGGCCATTAGACAAATCTTGATTTTATAAGTAGCCTAAAGTTGAAAGATAAAAATTCTATGTGTGTGTGTGTATATATATATGCTATTAAACTATTCTGTGTAATTTGTACTTCATAACGAAAAATGCTTCAGCATTCAAAAATATTTCCAGAAGAAGTAATTTTGGTTTTCTGATTAAACATAATGCTATTGTTTACTAGTTCTTAAATCCTTTAATTTTTTTCTTCTGTACCTGTAGGTGTCTCCCTAAGGCCAGGATTATTCTATTTCCCTGAAACAATATTTGAAATGATGCCCATCCTAGAGACTCATAGGTGCTGTAAACACTCAGAGAAAGCATATCTCTTTAACAGTCTGCTTAGATGCACCTAATGTCATCTGCCATGATTGTGACCTGGAGTCAATAAAATTAAATGTTGATAATTGTTCATGAACTGTATTGCATTTATGTGTAATGATTAGTTCATTAGCATTGAAGCTAGAATATGACCTTGGACATGAAACTTACTGAATTCTATTCAGTAAATCCATCCCTAATTCACATGGACTCATTTTAAGTTAATAATTTTTCATGGCCTATTTCTTTGCTTTCCACTCAATCCTCTTATCATTATACAGTTTACATATATTGTTATACCGTTTACCATGACTACAGGACATGATATTAAGAGCATTTACATACAACACAATACACAAATTCACCTGAAGTCCTTTAAAAAAGAGAAATGCCGATTTAATAACTTCTTTCAGGATTATTCTAAAACCCTTTTGATTCTAAGATCATGGCCAAATATAATTAAATGCCATGAATACATGCAATATATAATTTTATTGTTTGACTTATTTAGTAAATTTTAACATTTTCTTACTTTTGGAAATCAAAACATAGGGGATTTTATTGTGTTTCAGCAGAGCTCTACATGGCTAATAAGCATTACATATGTCTATAGCAATGAGATGTTTGCTGTTCAGTTCTTTCTATGAATGGAAAACAGCCTAGATCATGCTTGGGGGATAGAAGGGTAAAGTAACAGGGATGATATTCTCAGGTTTCCTGGACTGTTTTTACTTGACTTTAAGCAATCTGTCCTATTGTCTTCTTTAGTTTTGTCATTCTTATTAGACCATATGGTCATTGGAGCAATGCTAGTGACAAATTTTTGTCACAATAAATGGTCATCTAGATAGTTTTGAAGAACACTAGGCCCTCTGCCTCTAACATGTTCTTTGGTTTAAGACATCAAGATCTCTAAAATATTCTTTACAATTGCAAATACATCTGATGAAAGCCTAATATTAAATTGAACATTTTAAATTTGATTCTAAAAATACTGACCGAGAGGGCCATTGCTAGTTGTGCACAGGTTGTACACTGCCCAATTCCAGGGAAAGCCATTTACGTTGTAGTCTTGCATTGTCATTTTCATAGCCCTGCATATGTTGTGCTACAATTTTTAATCTTAAAAAGAGGGACAATGATGGAGCCCACATCAAATATTTGTTTTAAGGATTAAAAGAGCTAATGCATGTAACCTACTCTAAACTGTGCACCAGTAAAAGACCACTAAACTGTGCACCAGTAAAAGACCACTAAATGCTTTCAATAGCAATTATTGCTATTATATTTTATGATAATCTCACCTCTAGCCCTTGGAAATAAAAATAATATATGCATATGACATGATTCTTCTCAAGGAGCTGGTAGCCTGTTTGCAGAAGGTGAACTCATAAGAAGACTGTGACTACGTGTTGTAAAGGAGGTCTCCACATAGTGTTGTGAGAACAGAAGTACTAGTTGCTGGTTTTCTCCTGTGGGAGAAATGAAGGCTTCAAAGAGATCATCTGGAGCTTAAAACAATGAGAGAGTGGGCAGAGGTATGAATATGTATAACAGAGGTATGTGGAAACAGAGTATATTCAGGGAAATGGGAGCAGTCATGTGGTTAAAGCATGAATTCATGATAAGGTTGAAATACAGGATATGGGTTTTATTATTAAAGACATCTTACCATGAATTCTTTCTTAAAAATATATTTCCTCCAGGTAGTTTGCTGATTTCAGTAGGACATATTGAGTTAGCCAAATACATATATATATATTAATATATTTAAAAAAAATATATATATTTTAAACCTAAGCCATAAGACTTTTTTCTCTCTCCTTTCTATAACTAAGAGCTTTTTGATCTAATAGCTTTTTCAAATACCAGTGAGAGAAGGGGCAGGGAGATGTTTTGCTTCCCTTTTTGCCTATGATTGGCCAAGGCCTCAGTGATTAGGGAGATAGTTCTCAAATTGTGTCAGATGACCCACCTGCTTTGGAATCCTTTATGATTGCTTACTAAAAATGCAGTTTAGCTCAGAAAATACCCCTTAGTTTCAATACATTTTGTAAATACCACCAATCAGGCAGCATAATTTGTATATAATGATTCAGAGACAGAGTGTCTATAAAGGGCCCCCAAATTAAGACAATCTGTGTTCTTTGCCTTTTTGGGGAAGAGAAGTTAATCACTTCCTACATTGGTTTCTCAAAAAAAGACATTTCTCCTCCAAAACTAGGCTTTTTGACTAGATTTATTTTTGATCATCAAGCAAAAAACCAGGAGCAGAAAGGATTTTTTTTTTGTCTTAAGATTCAAAGTGCCCTTTTTCTCCTAAAAAAATGCCAGACCTTATTATAGAAGACATTTGAGATAATTCTAGACTTCCCTTTGTTAAGAACCCCACTAAGGGTTCTTTAAACATTGGATTGTTAGCCAGTCTGTGGGTATGAATCCCTCTTCAGTAGAGTAAAAATGATTTTGTGAGATGCCTTTCCTACATCTTTTTTTTGAGATTGTGGCTAATTGGGATTGCCATGATTTGTTTACTTGATAGAAAACAGCATCTTATCTCATGCAAACTTTCTGACTCACCAAAGTCACTATTCACTTGGACAATAAATTTGTAGATCAAGAGAAGAAATAATCAGCTAGTAGGATTTCAAAGACACTGCCCCAAAATATACTTTCCTGCATGCTTAGTTGCACTGGAAATTCATTTACCAGTAGACCATATCTTTAATTCCATTTAAAATTGGATGTATATTGTATATAACTCTGGGAGAGGTGTTGACAGTTCATGTTAGATCTTCTTACACACATGCATTTGATCTGGGAGAAATTATAAATGAGCTAAAGAATTAAAAAAGTGTTTGTGTAAGTAATAATCTGGGGGAAGGAACAGAGAAGGGAGATTGAGGCACATTCTTGCAATGGATTTTCTGAACAATGGGAAATTGGCAGGAAAGTTTCTTTTAGTCGCTTGTGCAGTTTATGCTCTCATCCACCCTACTACTCCATGTTTTATTGCCAATGAAAATATGGTTTTACTGAGGCCAAATTTGGTTCAATAATCAGGAGAGCCCAATATATGTATAATGGGACACTTTCTGAAGAGAATGTCAACAGAAACTGTTACAGAGAGAATCAAGAGTGGAAAGAAGACAATGTGCTAAGCAATGATTCATCATATCTAAACAGACACATTTCCTCTGTCAAAGTCTTTATTTTTTAATCTTTATTTAAAATAATCTGAGTATTTTAATGGGAGTGTGTTCTTGTGCATGCACGTGTATGTGTGTATGTGTTCAGGGCTAAAAGAAAACAGTTTCTTCGCTTTGCTGAGGCTGCACGAAATGGTAGTAAAGATGTTCAGGTGATGTGGAAGTAACCCAATGTAGATATTGATGGGTATGTTTTCTAAGACTCTGAATCTAATATGAAAATACATTTCCCTTTCCTGCTTTCTGTCCTCTTGATCAAGCTTCCTCTCTAGGCTTTTATAGTTGTGCACCTAGGATGTAGTATGTCAGCTCAGTCTCGGTGAAATCATATTGAGTTGTAAAGAAAGCGTGGACTTGGACTTGATCCAAGTTCTATTTCTATTTCAATCTCTTACCAGATGTTGCATTCTGGGCAAGTTTATCTACTTGTCCTGCTGAACCTCGATTTACTTAATACTTTAATACCCTCCTTGAACTGTATTCATATGAATGTGTGTGTCAGAGTAAACAATGAAGAATGTTCTACTTCCCTTAGAAAGAGAGAGAACAAATGTCTGGGTTATCTGATAAGACAGTGGACAAAACTTTTCACTCAGTTACAACTGGAAAGAAAAAATATCGGATTTTCTATTTTACCTTGACTAGTGAAGATGTCAGAGGACACTAGTATATAAAGTATGATATTTATTTAGTCCATTTCCAAAGTGTGGACTTGTGATATATAGAAATCTACAGCAGCATATCCAAAGGAAGTTCTGGAAATGGATTTGAGTCACCTTGTCAGTTTAAAAATAATATCAAATATAAATGACAAAGTCCCAAGGAAAGGCCACAGTTGTGCCACTTTGCTACCTTTCACAAAAGCTAATTTTCCAAGCAATCTCTAGTGCATTAAAAAAATGAAATGTCACATCAGTGTTGAAGGCTGTCTCCAGATGGCCTTTTATTAGCTACTGAGGAGGCTGCTGCTCTTCTCCATCAATAGCACACATCACAGAAACAATTTCACCTTTATATGCAATAAGCTATCACTGTTGCATGAGGTACTAAATGACACTTGGAAGACTGGTCCCTGAAATATTTTTTTGAAATGCCATGTGTGTGGCATAGTTCATGTGACTGCCAATCTGGATTTGCTGTATTTCCTTGAAGGTCAGACAATGTTAGTTTGCAGCCTAGGGAACTTCTTGGGTTAAATCTGAAATTACTGCCATACACAGAAGGCAAGAATAGACCAAAGAAAGAGGCAGAACACTCCAGCTTAGTAGGTGGCAGTTTTAATAAGCAAAAGAACTTACATGTATGAGGCTTGTCTTGGGTAGCCACAGGATGAGTTGATCTCTGCACCCACTGCAAGAATCCTAAGGGTTTATATTGGGGTCTTACAGGGTTCATTTGCACACAAGGTCCAGGTAGTCTCAATAACACATTAGTCTCCTAAGGCTGTGTCCTTTAAGTAGTCTCTAGTATAGGAACAGTGAATGAACATACATTCCTAGGACAGGGAAGGAGGTAAGAAGCCTGTGATTGCCTGGGTCCAGTTCTTGGGTCAACTGGTGGTCATGTCCTCTTGATGACCTCCTCCAACAGGCAATGCAGAAGACATAAAGAATTGACTAAAAAACAGTGACGAAGGCCCAGGATACTCTGAATGTCCTTAGAAGAAAGGAGAGTTTAGTTTATTCAGGGAGCTGTCGTCTGGGTATGCAAAGTCAGATGGAGCCGAGGAGCAGAAATGGATGTGCACAGCTCCCTCAAATTCAGCTTTACCAAGGTAAGTGGCATTTCCCATCATTGCTCTTCTCCCCTCCCCTCTCCCAACAGGTGAGAAAACCGACACTCAGAGGATAAAATAACTTCATGAAGGTTTCACAGCCAAATT